TTTATTGTAGTATTTATTTGTTGAATAAATAGATGAAACAAACCTCAGAAATGTCACTTTAGTGACTGAACTCTCCAGGATCTGACACAGATGCTTCATTCCAGAGTCTTTCAGTTCAATGATCCTACTTATTTCCAGATCAATCAGATGGGAGGGGGTGGACTTCAGAGCTGAAGCCACAACTTTACATTCAGTCTCTGAGAGATCAGAGCCACCAAGTCTGTGATTGGAGAAGAAAGTCAGTTCTGATTAAATCAGACAATCTAGATTATAAACAGACTAAGATGTGATCTCAATCATATCATCTGAATATCATTTTACTGAGACTGCCACAACAGAATCTCTGCTGTTCATGATTAAGCTCTTGGAAGACAGCTTTCAGAGAACCCTAGCCTCAACACAGCTCTCCAGCTCACAGCCGATCTCTGCCTGGATATACATTCCCCCCACAGCACCACCCCATCTCAGCCAACAGTAAGAGCTGCCTCCTTTCCACCTGCATATTGCTCTCACATTGCTCTCCATCAGTTACTCCTTTTCCCCGCCAGTGTGAATCGCCGACCAGTCCTCACCTCCTGCTATCTGTTCTCCTGTTGTTCCTGCTGCTATAAAATAAACTACGTACTTACCCTTTAACTGTGTCTGTATTTGTAACTGTCATCTACACCAGACTCAGGTATAACAAACAAGACACTCATGTGCATTTTCTCAAAACATTTCACTCCACCTGAACGCAACTATAACACAACTATGACCAGGAGCTTCAAGCCAATAAATTAGCGTTGCCGACACTGGCTGGAAGACACAGAACAAACCATCCTTGTTTGGACAGACCACAAAAACCTGGTCAATCTACAGTCTGCTAAACACATAAATCCTAGACAGGCCCACTGGACATTGTTCTTTTTTCAGTTCAACTACAATCGCACTGGTTTCAGAAATTCCAAACTAGACACCCTCTCAAAACAATATTCTTCTTATAACTCTGAAGACTCCTCCAAACCTATCCTTTCTGAAGACTCCTCCAAACCTATCCTTCCACCCTCCTGTTATGGTGGTTCCATTATTTGGGGTCCAGAGGGCCTCATTCAGGCAGCTCAAGTAGATTGTCTCTGTCATCAGTCCTTCTGCAGTCTGCCTTAAATTCCCTCTCACCTCCATTATGTTCATCCAGTGTTTCATGTCTCTCAGATTAAGCCCGTTCATTCCAGGACTCATGGTAAGAACACTTTTTATGTGGTGCATAATGCTTTTACATGTTTTAAGTCCATCTTTTGTTTTTACAGTGTCATGTTCCGTGTTTCTGTGTGTTTATTTTTGAGTTTCTGTGTAGTCCTGTGAGTCTGTCTCTGTCTTCCCTGTTGATTGCTCCCAGCTGTATCCCGTTCCCTGATTACCTTCCCTGTGTATTTAACCCCACCTGTTGTCTTTGTCTGTGTCGGATCATCGTCGTATGTACTGTGGTTTGTGTTTGCTCCGTCTAGTCCGTTTGACAGTTGCTACCGGTTTTTAGCTGTGTGCTTGCCTCTCGCCGTGCTGCCTGTCTTGGACTGTTTTTGAGCTTTATCTCTTCATTAAATCATCATCACCATAACCTGGGTCTCAGCGTCTCTCCTCACCATCAACAACCCCACTTCATGACATACAGAAACAATCTGTTGTCTTCATGATACCAAAACAAGGGGCAGGTGAGATAAAAAAAGACATCTGATGTTGTGAACTCTTAAAAATATGTGCATTTTCATTTTTTACAGACATAACATAAACAAAGAGCTGAAGACAGAAGATAGTGGAAGGAGACAGAGTGACTGACCAATGAGCATTTTTCATGTGAAAACAATGAAAGTCGTTCCAGTAATTAAGAGGATGAAATGTCTAAAGTGTTAAAGGCTGCAGATGAGGTGCTGATGAAGAAAATGTTTCAAACTCTGGAATCTGAGTCCTCAGATCTTTGGGAGAACTTGACAAAAACTAAGACTCCTCCAGAAACTTTTACTCTGATTTACAAGCTCAGAGAAAATTAGTGAGAAGAGGAAAAATTTGTTAACAAGGTTTTCTGTGTGCAAACAATTATTTTTCATGGCAACAACTACAATGAAGTACTTATTTTAATGATCCAAGATTCTATGAAACCAAAACTTTTTTTATTAAAACAGTCAAAGATCCTAAAAGACAAATTAGGGACTAATGGCCCAATGAGCATACAGGTATTTAACTTTTAAATTGTGCCTGTGGCTGACTGGATCTTTCATATACAATATAGATTTTCTAGTTCCCAATGTCTTCTATTCATTGCAATTGAATATGAAAACAGAAAAAACATGGGACACTTTTAAATGAGCAAAATCTCTAAATACCAAAAGCTACAGCAGTGCTGTCATGAGTAAGCTGAACATTTACATTTTTCAATTGATATCTCAGATACCAACAATGAGAAAATGCCAGAATTAAGTAGAAGATCTTAAGGCATTTTAAAGAAGATGGAAAATAGGATGATGAAATGGTCTTAAAAGTACATTTTCCTTAGACAGAAATGCTTTAAACTACTTTGAATAATTCACTGGGCTTACCAAGCCTTTTTATAACTAGGACAAATGACTGAAATGATTCAGTCATTTGTGTGACTGAATCATTTTTCTTAGTGCCAATAAATTGAATTGAATTGAATGGTTTAATAGACCAAAGTATTAAGGACGCAGCTAAAGGCCAAGAAGCATCCAGAAGCAACTTGAAGAACTAAGAATAAACATTAGTACAGTAGTGCTGAATCAACATCCACACAACGAAAACTCCTTGACTCACCGAGCCTTTTTGCAGTTCTTCACAGCTGGAACCAGTCTCAGTTTTCCCCCCTCTGATGTGTTGTACTTCTCCAGGTCCAACTCATCAACGACCTCCGGTGACATCTGCAGCATGAAGGCCAGAGCTGAGCACTGGCTCTGTGAGAGCTTCTTCCCTGATTGCAAGAGCTGTTGGATCCCCTGAAAAAATGACAGGTCATTCATCTCTGTCAGACACCAGAAGATGTTGATGCTCCTCTCTGGAGAGATATCATCAGTGTTCATCTCCTTCAAATTGTTGATGATTCTCTGAATGGTTTCAGGGCTGTTCTCTGTCTTCCTCAGCAGGTCTCCTAAGAGTCTCTGGTTTGATTCCACAGAGAGGCCATGAAGGAAGCGAACAAACTGGTCTAGTTGGCCAGTTTTACTCCTGAGGGATTTCTCCATGACTTTCTTCAGGAACTCATCCAAAGCTGAGTAATTATGGTTTTCCCTTAGGAAGCTCTCTATCACCTCTGTGTTCCTAATGGCGAAACAGTGAGCCATGTAGACTGCAGCCAGAAACTCCTGGATGCTTAGATGAACAAAGGAGTAGACTGAAGTTTTGCCTAATCCTCTCTCCTCTTTAATGTGCTCAGTGAACACTCCTGAGAATAACAAGGCATCTTTGATGTCAATGTCACACTGTTTGAGGTCTGATTTGTTGAAGATAAATTTTTCTTTAAGCAGTTGCTCCAAAGCCAGTCTTCCCAGAGACTCAACCATCTCTTGGATGTATGTATTTCCAGCTCCACCACTGTATTTTTCCTTGTTGGTGTTCTTCTGAATCACCAGGAACTTAATGTACAGCTCAGTTAAAGTTTTTGGCAGCTCTGCTCCCTCTTTGAACTTTAGTTCATTCTCCAGAACATCTGCAGCGATCCGGCAGACCTCTGGGATGTGACACATGCTGTCCAGGTTTCGTGATGTCTTCATGTGGGAGATGATCCTGTTGGCCTGCTGCACATCTCTGAATCTCTTCCTGAAGTACTGCTCCTTTTGTGTGTCAGTGAACCCTCTGACCTCGGTCGCCATGTCAATGAACTCATCTGGGATCTGATTGGCTGCTGCAGGTTGTGTGGTTATCCAGATGAGAGCAGAGGGAAGCAGTTTCCCCCTAATGAGGTTTATCAGCAGAACATCCACTGAAGTGGACTCTGTAACATCAGTCAGGATTTGAGTGCAGCAGAAGTCCAGAGTAAGTCGATTCTCATCCAAACCATCAAAGATGAACAAAACCTTTAAGTGTTCAAAGCTACACATTTCTTTGTTTTTAGAAAAGAAGAGATTGACAAGTTCCACCAAGCTTAATGTTTTCTCTTTCAAGGCATTCAGCTCTCTGAAAGTGAATGGAAATATGAAGTGGATGTCCTGGTTGGTTTTGTCTTCAGCCCAATCCAGAATAAACTTATGTGTTAAGACTGTTTTCCCAATTCCAGCCACACCTGTTGTCATCACTGTTCTGATTGGTTCCTGTCTTCCAGGAGGGAGTTTGAAAATGTTTTCTTGTGTGATTGTTGACTTATGTTTCCTGGATGCTGTTCGAATCTGTTTCCATTTACTTACTTTGACTCCCTTTTTGTCATTAACTACTCCAATCAATCCCTCTGTGATGTAGAGCTCTGTGGAGATCTGATTCTGAAAGGTTTGATTTTGAGCTTCAACAATGTCTTCATGGAGATATCGGAACATCTTCTTTAGAGACTCTTTAAGGTCACTTTGACACCGACTAATATCTGAATGAAGAGACAAACAGAAAACAGGATACACGTAAAAAAAAAAAAAAGAATACAAACTATTACTGATCCTCTCAGAGGGGTGTTTGTGTATAATGTCACATGGACACATTAAAATGCAAAATATATTCACAGTAAATTAATTATGTTTCCAAGCCTGTGGAAGCGAGCAGATGGCCAAGTCAGGCCATGGCCATTCTCTTGCTCCTGTGGAGTAATTTGTTATTCTTTTTATTCCTCTCCTCGAATACATATTGGTCAGAAAAAGCAGGGAATGCTGGAATAAAGCTAATGAGTCTCTGGTTGAAAAACTTTGCTGCTTAGAGAAAACTCTTCATGTTTCCCAATACTTAGTGGGCACTATTACAAAGGAAAATACATTTTGGGTGGTAACTCCTAAACCTCAAGTCCTACACTCAAAATCTTGATGGGATCTTAAACCTTAGATGATTCTGCAACAGTTTTACTTTGGCCACGCCCACTTCTGCCTAGATTTTTTTTTTGCTCTAACATAACATCTATGGACCAAGCTGCTAAAGCAATACGGAAATAATTTAATTATTTTTTGAAAATTGTGCAAGCTATGCAATACCAAACAATTAATTAATAAATCAATCAAATTTTATTTGTGTAGCACATTTCAGCAACAAGGCATTTCAAAGTGCTTTACATCGTAACAAATAGTGGTGTTATTTAAACTAACAACAGTATTTTAAAGTCTATTCTCTGAGCTACAGGGAGCCAGTGTAGGGACTTTAAAACTGGTGTTATGTGCTCTATCTTCCTGGTTTTAGTGAGAACATGAGCAGCAGCGTTCTGGATCAGCTGCAGCTGGAGGATTGATTTATTGGACAGACCTGTGAAGACGCTGTTGCAGTAATCAATGTGGCTAAAGATAAACGCATGGATGAGTTTCTCTAGATCAACCCCATACAGAACCATTGAAGCCATTGCTAATACAGGACTAAAGCAAAACAAAGTCCAAAAAAACTACTACCAAGAAAGAAATAAGGGTAACACTTTATTTGAAGGGGGTTGAATAAGACTGACATGACACTGTCATAAACATGACATAACACCTATCATGAACATGAATAAGCCTTCATGAATATTTATGACTGTTGTCATAAAGCGTCATTCGGTAAATAATGACACTTTTAATACAAAGTTGACATTATTCAAAATGTCTTTGTTATGACAACTTGACATTAACTAAGAAATCATTACTGTTTAAACTTTACCTTTAATAACATAAAGTTACCTAATTTTTAAAGTGCAATCAGTAATACTTTTATAACAAATTTATATCAGTAATGATTTCTTGGTTAAGGTCACGTTGTCATAAGAAAGACATTTTGAATAATGTCAACTTTGTATTAAAAGTGTCATTATTTACCGAATGACGCTTTATGACAACAGTCATAAATATTCATGAAGGCTTATTCATGTTCATGACAGGTGTTATGACATGTTTATGACAGTGTCATGTCAGTCTTATTCAACCCCCTTCAAATAAAGTGTTACCGAAATAAGTGAATGAAGGACAACCGGTCCTTTGTGCTCATAACGCTGTTGTAATAAATGTGTAATTTATTTCACAAGCTCCACTGCAATAAGCTCCAATGTTCTGGAGCTCCAGAACATATTAGGAAAATATAATAATCGTGATATGAATGAATGATGCGATAAACATTGAATTGCTCTCCCTGTCTACTTTCTGAGTCCAGGTATTGGTGGATAGAGTAAAGACTGATGTATCAGACAGTTACACCCCTGTTCTTCATATCATTCCATCATAACTTTGTGTTTCTGCAGAGTTCTGGAGTCTGAGTCCATTTTTTGTAAAACCTGTTATATTCAGGCTTTACAAAGATTCTAACTGCTCCCCACAGTGTTTCACTGAACAGAAAGAAATGAAAAAGATCTCTCTTTATAGACTGAAGCTGTGGTTCATCATACAAGCTGTAATTTGTCAGTTTAGATTTGTACTATTTTAATGGTTGATACAGAAATAAACTCCTGAGAACTGCAAATCATTAAGTTTTCTGATTACATACATATATAAAGACAACTAAATATGCTGTCTTCTCTCTATAACAGTTTCTAACAGTTACCAGTTTAAAATACTCTCACCACTTACCTGAGTCCTGCTGGTCTTCCTGCTGCTCTTCTACTTGGGGTTTCTCAGTCTTATTCCTGAAAATACATTATTTATTTATGTTTCAGGTTCTATTTACAAATTCTATTGTCTTTCCCTTGTATCCATTCAGAAGGAAAACAATTAATATTGGAGCAAAAAACCAAAATAAATTAAAGAAATGGAAAAAATAAATAAATAAATAAATAAATCACATAAAATCCACACAGAAATTTTCTCTAAATGCCAAGAAGACCCCATCCCCACCAGAAAACACACTACTGATGCCAGAAACAGCAACCAAAACATCAGCACAGTTTATTTCGCCTGCATATATAAAATACATCTGCAGTTATTAAAGCTGAAACATGTAAGTAGGATAACAGACTGCTTCCAGGTACTAAGGTAGAAAAACTATGATTCAAGAGGGGGCCCTGCATGTGGGCAGAAAGATATGAATACTTTTCTAAGTGAGGGTTTAAGAAAACAGGAACATGTGGACAATAAACTGACTCAGTGGTTTAGATAAATACAACCAGGTGACTCAGACTGGAAAGGACTTCACTGGCTGGCTTATTGGTCTTATGTCATAAAGTGGGTGCATAAGCTCCACCACAGAGGTGTTTGGACCCCTGATCATTTGTTTGGTTTAGTTTTCAGGTGAGCAGAGTGAACCTTATCTGGATCTAGCAGCTTCTTAAGCTGCCATCACCGTATCTGCGCTGATGGGTAGCAGCAGATATAAAGAGAAAAGGATGTGGGAAACATCTCTGGAAAACTGCAGCTTCATATTGTTGAAGCAGAAATCAAGTTCTGTTTTTACTGAAGTTGCTGTTTTGGACCAAACTGAAGAACTGCTGCAGAAGGTGTTATATGGGGCTTTCTATCAGGGTGTATATTTGGGACAAGGCTGGTCCTGATCCAGCTCTGCTTAGCTTAGGCTTGTAGGGCATGACGCTGGCATGAAACCAAAAGGACGTTCTCTTTTTCCTCAGAAACAGAACCACAGATCAGCAAAAACTCAAACTGTCTTTGACCTCCACAAACCTGCAGTCTGTAAATGAGATTGTTTACCAGCTTTAGATGGTCAGATACCAGCTGGTTCTCATCTTTCATTATTTGAGTAACAAAACTCCTGCAAAGGCCTATTGTAATTGTAGTCATTTATTATTCTTTTCTGAATCAAAGTAACTTTTTGGAGGCCCTAATTATGAAAAGTCACCAACTTTTGAACACATCAAATGTGCAGAAAAGAAAGTATTTCACTATAATTGAAAAGGGGTGTGACCAAATAGCTTCACAACATCCTCTAAAGTTAACCCATTGAAAATGGTATAAATCATTTGAAATTTAGCTCACAGATAGATTAGATACCTTCAAGACATTTGAAAAAAAATGTTAAGTAGAGAGGTATGTCATAAAATCAACAAGACATTAGCTTTTGGGGTCAAAAGTACATTTTTGAAATCTCACATATGTCAAATGACCTCTCAGGAAATTAAAAGTCTCATCTTCAGAGGTTGCAATAGAATTTTTTGTTGTCCATCATTTTGACTGATGGCATAAAAAAAAAATCTACCATATTCTGTTTTTACCTATCAAATTTAAATAATACTGACACAAGCTATTCAGTTGCACTTAATTTTTTGCGGCTTAATTAAGTTCAACAGACAATCTAGATCCCATCACACATCAAGCAGAGACCTGACTCCAGAGGGGCACAGTAAATTAACTTTCAATGTGGGAATTTATCATACGTGGAAGCATGCATATAATCGAGAAAATAGACCCACGTACAAAAACTTTGGTACTTAATCTGTAATCCTGGATCTTAAGGTACTGGGTGGTGCTGTTTCTTTGATGCCCGCTACTCCTCATACTTTAAATTCAATTAAAATATTCGGTAACACTTTATTTGCAAAAGACTGACAAGACACTGTCATAAACATGACATAACATCTGTCATGAACATGAAGAAGTCTTTATGAATGTCTTTGACTGTTGTCATGAAGTGTCATTTGGTAAATAATGACTTTTAATGCAAAGTTGCTCTAAAAGTTGAATTGAAAGTCCATTAAAAGTGCCAACATTGCCTGATGTTGTAAATGATAATTTAATGCAAAGTTGGCACTTTTAATGGACTTTCAATTCAACTTTTAGAGCAACTTTGCATTAAAAGTGTCATTATTTCCCAAATGACACTTCATGACAACTGTCATAAATAATCATAAAGACTTGAGATGTTATGTCATGTTTATGACAGTGTCATGTCAGTCTTATGCACACCCCTTCAAATAAAGTGTTACCAATTATACTCCAAGCTAATTAGGCTTTAATTCATATGAAGGGTTGGGTACCAGTGTTGGTGAGGCAGCATAGATACATTTGATCTGAATCTGGACTTCAGAAGAACTTGTAGAACTTACTTTTCATTAAAGAGATCTTCACCAGACTCTTGACCTAGAAAAAGGCAAAACAACAGCAGACAGTGTTCAATTTAACCATAGGATTAATAAAAAAGAAAAACAGTGGCCAATAGAAACCTTGTGAACTGACCTGTGATAGAAGATGACTGTAGCTCAGACCACAGTTGTGGATCGATGGTTTGAAGATGATGAATCATCTCTTTGGAGGCATTAGTTTCCTTCTCCATTACAGTGTCAACTAAGCAGGTGGCCATGTTTACTCTGGTGTGGTTTTGAAGGATTGCCTCCTTCTCTGATGACTTCAACATGTTTGCCTTCAGGAGAGCCTCCATGAGTTGTGTCAAGGTTTCTTTTGGTACCTTCCTCACAAAGTCACTAAGCATCCTGTTGAGTTCTTTCTCTGTAGGCAGGAACACAAAGAAATCACTGCAGTTCCTTGATGGAAACTTTATGATGCAGTAAAGACCGGATTTTGGAATCTAGCTGTACCTTCATTTGTAGATGATGGAGTAATCTGCTCCTCTACTTCAGGGGTAACTTTGTCTGTTGATAAGAAGAATAAATGTTTAGCAGGTACTTGTTCAGATGTTTCAGAACAAACTCTTGAAGGATATTTTTGCTCCATCAAACATACCTTTATTGCTTTCAATCTTCTTCAGGATCTTCTTTGTGACCTCCCTGGTCTTTGGGGTGTATGTCTTAATCATCAGATCTACCGTTTCCAGTCTGTCTGCACCATACAGCTTGGATTTTGTGATGGGTTTGAAGCCATCCTTGGACTCGTCCGCATTCTGAAGGTACCACTGGAATAACTTCAGCTCCTTTTTGTCCAGGTCTTCCAAAATATCCAGAAGCCAAACTTTAAACACCTGGCAGTTCAGGAAAAGATTCCTTGTTAGAATATCAGGAAATAAAATATTCGAGCTCATTCATTATGAGAGAAGATAACGACGTTCCGATTTGTAGACAATACAGGAAAAAGTATAATTACATGTCCTTCTTGTGGAATGATCTTCTTGAAAATCTTTTCTGCCACCTCCTTGGTGTTTGTGGTGTACTTCTGAAACATCAGATTTACTGTGTCCAATCTGTCTGCATGTTCCAGACGGCTCGTTTTGATTGGTTTGAAGTCAACGTCGGACTCGGGCAAAGTGTGAAGGTACCAGTGGAAGTACTTCAACTCTCTGCTATCCAGATCTTCCAGTTGGTCCTTCAACCATTGCTTTATACCATTTAAAAATAAATGAGGTTAATTAGATAAATGTTATCAACAAGACAGCCAAGAGCTATTAGGACTCCATAATTGGAGGATCCAGGGTCACCGTTTCAGGTTCTTTGCATGACTATGTCTGATGGGGGTTTTTTAAAGCAATGTACAAAACACATTGTTAAGAACAAGTGAAGAAAATCTATTCCAAAATAACCTGAGCATAGCTACTAACCTTACAGGAGTCAGTCAAAACTTAGACTATCTAGTGGCATTAAGCTCATAGACAAAGATGGCAACTTACAGCATCACTGTTGTCTTCAAGAGATTTCGGCTGCCAGATTTCCTTCATGTCCCAGAAGGGTCTATGGGTCATAAGATGACATTAAATTTACTGAAGGTAAATTTTTTTAATGGAAATATCTATTACAGAAAATGTCATACATCCAGGCCTGGTTGGAAAGGAGGACAATAGGGGGCACTGGGAGGCATTGTCCACCCACAGAGTCAGCTCCCCCTGGACTGGAAGGTATTTCTTATATCTTTACCTCAGAGTGGCCAACTTTCTATTATTCCTATCTTGATTTGGTACAGTAGGGGCTCCCACACATCCTGTACTGGTCCCTCTGTCTCCCGCACCTTTTTTAGCCATTACAAGTGTTTAATCCATTGCAAACATGTCATAACGTGTTTTCATGAGCCGCCTTTAATGCAACACTAGTGTAAATGCGACAGAGGCATGCTACTGCTGTGCGGAATGGCATGCTGGTGTGTCTTAGAATTATGGCAGCAAACTAGCAAAAGTCAAAGAACTTTGCACAGTTCCCCCCACAACCCCGACAAACTAACCGAGTGAGTTGATTAATGCTGTTGGATGCAGGTAATGTTAGCTAAATGACCAACTAATGTCAATAAATCACGTTAAGCTTTTCAACAAGAATAGGTTTCTAGTATTGCTGTTATCTATGTTCAAAACAGGGTAGTGCTGGTTACATTCACTTGAGTAACTTTTTGGGAAAGGATGCATTGATAATAGTTTTACTGTACATTTTCCCTTTACTTGAGTAATATTATTCTACTCTTACTTGAGTTGAGTTGATTTTGCATTTAATTAGACTTCATGGGACACCTTGGATTTCCACAACATATGAACTAATGTTAATGCAAATTTGAGCATAAACATTATGCTCAAATTGCATGTTACACATGTCACTGTTTACATCCTTACTTTTTATCTTGTATAAATAAACATGGTAATTTTATCTGAAATGTTACATAAATGTTTGTTTATGTATTAATATTAAAGTAAAAGTATGTTTAGTCTGCCCCCCTCAAATTAAGCAAAGGTACCCCTCCTGCTAAACTGCTCTGGAGCCGGGAGTGCGTATATCATACATGTTGAAACTAAGTTTAGAACTTGGTAAATAAGTCACTCTGAAATGATTCATTATCTGGTAGAAATTTAACACAGATCCCTAACTTATCTGTTAATACTTGTGTTTATAAAAATGTGTGAATATTTTATACTTGATGGTATCCAGGAAGTAATAGTGATTAGTCCATGTTACTGGTCCTCCAACACAGAGTAATTAGGTCACTTCAGAGGTCGATGTCTAGATAAACTTGATTTGAATCTGGACTTCAGAAGAACTTGTAGAACTTACTTTTCATTATCAAAGAGATCTTCACCAGACTCTTGACCTAGAAAAATGCAAAACAACAGCAGACAGTGTTCAATTTAACTATAGGATTAATAAAAAAGAAAAACAGTGGCCAATAGAAACCTTGTGAACTGACCTGTGATAGAAGATGACTGTAGCTCAGACCACAGTTGTGGATCGATGGTTTGAAGATGATGAATCATCTCTTTGGAGGCATTAGTTTCCTTCTCCATTACAGTGTCAACTAAGCAGGTGGCCATGTTTACTCTGGTGTGGTTTTGAAGGATTGCCTCCTTCTCTGATGACTTCAACATGTTTGCACTCAGCAGAGCCTCCATAAGTTGTGTCAAGGTTTCTTTTGGTACCTTCCTCACAAAATCCAGAAGCATCCTGTTGAGTTCTTTCTCTGTAGGCAGGAACACAAAGAAATCACTGCAGTTCCTTGATGGAAACTTTATGATGTAATAAAGGCCAGATTATGGAATCTAGCTGTACCTTTATTTGTAAATGATGGAGTAATCTGCTTCTCTACACACTAAATAGTGTTTTTGGCATTTACATTAATCTCACTTCATTCATTTGGTTCAGTGTTAACTTACTTTTTTTGTTCAATTAACTTAAAAGTACCAAATCTAACTAACGTAAATTAACTTTATTAATTTAAAAGAACTTTTTACTTTGACTTTACTTGGAACAATGCCAGTTTCATATCCTATGTCTGACCAACTCAATTTATTAAGTTTATCAAACTCAGTTTACCAAGTTTTTATAACTTAATTCATCAAGTGACATGACAAGATTAGTCACTCTTACTCAAATTATTTATTTTTGTCTAATAAATTCAAATCTCGTTGACTTAATTCTACAGAAAGTCAACTCAAACTTTTAATTTCTTCCAAACTGTCAAAAATTACATTGTCACTCACACTGTACGTATGTATGTAAATGTATGTTTTAACATGTTATTTTAGTTTTTTAAAGATCCTGTACACTGAATAAAGAAAATAGTTCATCCAACTTAGTTTGTTAAGTTGGTTTATCTTGGTAAATAAGAGGGAGGACATGCAGTAAAGGTCATCAGGCTGGAATTTAACTTGCGATGGCCGCACCATCATAGCACCACAGTCACTACGATCTTTGGTGAAGCTTCCGGTATGACATCAGACGTAGGATACAAACGCAGCATTGAACTTAATTGTTTACGTTATCTTTAGAGTACACTTCTTTGAGTGCACTCTGAAAAGTGTATTTGAAAGTGTCATGACGCAAACTTCATCAGGAACAGATCCTGTACCAGTCGTGGTGTTGTGGGGGCGCAGAGGGAAAACACACTGCATAAGTTCTGATGATCTTTGCTGCTGTCTTCTCTCACCGTCATCACCCACTTTCCTGTCTAACTTCTCTCAAATAAAGGCTGTCTGAGAAAAAAAATACCTAAGCTGGATGATCATAATATATTGAGTTGGATAAACCTGGCAAATTGAGTTGGATAGACATAAGTTGAGTTGGTTAAACTTAAAAAGAAACTTAACTTAAGTAAACTTTAAAAATAAATTAATTGAGCCTGGCAATTGAGTTGGCATAGGTTTGTCTGTTGAGAAACAGAATACATGTTTAGCAGAAACATCTTTGGATGTTAAAATTTTTTCTCTTCATCTAACAAACCTTTATTGCTCTTAACCTTCTTCAGAATCTTCTTCTTGACCTCCCTGGTGTTTGTGGTGTGTGTCTCAGTCATCAGGTCTGCTGTGTCCAGTCTGTCTGCACCCTGCAGCCTGTTGATGGGCTGGAAGCAAACATTCGACCCGTCTGCAGTGTGGAGGTTAGGTTGGAAGTACCTCAGGTCTCTGTCGTCTTGTTCTTCCAGATGCTCCTTCAGAGATCGCTTGTCCTTTAAAAACAGATAACTGGAATTAGATAAATGTCATCTACAAGGCAGTTAACAGCTTTTGTGACTCCAGAGTTGGTGGATCAAGGGTCACAGCATCAGGATTCCAACCAAACTAAGTCTCATGTTATTTTAAAAGTGTACATAATGTACTCTTACACACAAGTGAGGATGTTTTTTCCACAAAGAGCCTGCCCATAACACCAACCTTACAGGAGTCTCTCAAGTCTTAGACTTTATACAATAGCATCATAAGGGAGGCTGTTTATAAAGTCACACAGTAAAAAAGTATATTAATATTTATGTTTATTTAGCCTAAAAAATTATTGTACATTTTTCAGTCATATTTTGACTGTTATTCATACATCTATTAATGCCCTTATTACAGGGGCATAAATCACAAGCTAAATATTTAGCATACAAAAAATATTTAGCTTTCAAATTTACAAATATTAATTTGGAAACTAAATATTCAGTTACAAATTCAATATTTAAATCTGAACTACATTTCAATCTGGAGAGACTCAGACAGAGAAAGAAAGCGATTAAAGAAAGTTTAATAACAAATAAACATTAAAGTCCTTCAGCGTTCAGGCCCCGGCTGTGGACGTCGAGGTGGAAATTTGATAAGCTCGACAAACATTCCTGATGCTACATAGGAGGCACTGATTGATGAGGCAGATGAGGCTAAGCAGTCTTCCAGATTGAATTTGCGCCGAAGCTTCATGTCTTTGTTTAGAAACAAAATAGTTTGCAAACTGAAAATTATGTTTTAAATTAAAAGTGCAGTTTAACTAAACATTTATTTTTCTATGTATATATTTCTTTTACAAATTAAGCATTTAAGTTCTTAAGAAAATATTTATTTTCCAAACTAAATATTTAGCTTGGATATAATTATTAAAACAAGTTAATATTTAGCAAGTAAGCTAGCACGCTATTTAACCCTTCTGCGGTCTTAAGAGGTGGGGTATATTCTTTTTTTTAACCTGTGCGCAGTCTGGCAGGGTTGCATCAAACCCAAGTTTTACAAGGTCTTTTTTGTGTGGTTTCAGAAACTGACAGTCTGTCGGAACACACACCCCCAGCTGTCTGATCGTGACATCTGCTGCGCTCTGCCTGAGCATTGGTCTAAGACCAAGGGAGGGCTAAATATTTAGATTGGTAGATAAATATTTAGTTTATATGCAAATCCACTTGCTGATAAGTGGAAGTGGGATATGAAAAAAAGCTTGGTCCTGTTGACCTTTTTAAACTCCTGCTTCTGGTCAGACTAGATTGCTTCAGTCTTTGCTGAAGTAATTCTTTTATCATAGATTCTTTTTACAATGCACCGGTACAGCTGATGTTGAAAACATACACAATGCGGTTTTAGTGGTGATATAGACCTTTACTCATGAATCTAGCGGAACTGCAGCAACATTTGTCTCTGTACAAGCCATAACTTCCTGGTTTATGTTCCATTCACTCTTAAGTTGCTTCAGTGTTTAAAATTATGTTTATGAAAATGATGAAATATACTATTTGTGCAAAAGTAAACATTTCAACCATACATATGCAATAACTCAGCTCCAGAGAAAGTTTCATGTGAATTAAACATAAAGCAGAAGTGTTATGCAGATTTTGCTGCATAGCTTGCTGTAGATGCATGAGTAAGCAAATCTTTTGTTTGCAGCTAAGATGTTAGACATGTCAAGAGGAAGATAATTGATAATGTAAGTTACTTGAGCATCAGCTGAAGTGATCCAGTGAACTTGCCAGCAACAGGAGTTTAAAGAGGTCAGTAAAACCCAGCTTTTATTTTGATAATCCACTTTCGCTTATCAATAAGCAAATTTGCAATTTAGTTAACAACCTAAATATTCAGTTAGCTAGCAAGCAAAATCTCTTTGTCCAAGCTAAGTATGTAGGCTTGAAAATAAATATTTAGTTTGGAAATTAAATATTAATTTGAAAAATGAACAATGTGAAAAAAATACACATTTATTTTGCAAAATAAAAAATATTGTTGATTAAATATTGTATTTTGAGTGTGCATTTCCTTTGTACACTTATGTGGCTTGCAAATTAAATATTCAGCTTGGAGTTCTGATCAGTTATCATAAATGTATGACTAACATGGTGTAAAAAAATCAACACCCCTTTTTTGTCTTATGACAGCTAAATAACTAAATTATTGCTATAAATTTTTTACTGTGTAACTTTACAAACTGCATGCTGTCGCAACAAGATTGAAGATGATGGATGGTGACTTACATCATCATTGTCCCCAGTCTGCCATCTGTATTCCTTATTTTCCTCGATGATTCTTCTAGTCAAAAGATGATAGTAACTTTAGTGAAGGTTAATTTCTAAGGAAATATCTGCTACCAAAGACTAACTTTTATCATACATGCTGAAGTCATGTTCCAGCCCTTAAGGTAGACCAATTTAAAACATTTTTATTGAATCATTCAGAGAAGATTTAATATCTGGTTAGATTTTACCACAGCTTCCGTAAACCCATCTGGATGCTTCATTACAAACATAAAACATCTGACTAGAAGAAGCAGAACATTTAGAGTTGACTCAAGGAGTATATTAAAACTCCTGAAATCATGTAATATTGCTTTAATCCTGCTGAATTCAGTGTGCAGAAGAATCATTCTCTTTCCTCTTCATAAACTGACCAACCACACAGATGCAGCATCAGCTTCAATTGAGCTATTATACCTTTATCTGTTGTGAGAATAGACAGAAAAACAAAACAGTAAAAGTTTCTGCCAGACAGAGGAGCCTGCAGACTCTGAACTGACACATTTCTTAATTTCTCCATGGTGACAGGAGATGTTGTGTATAAAATAGTCCCATCTTACCGTTCAAATAATGACACCCTAATGTCATTTTCTGTCTGAGGTCCAGGTTCTCGTCTAGGATGTGTCATAACATCTTCAGCTTTGTGATGGTTTCTGTAAATAATGTGACAACCAAACAGGAAATGTTTTCAGGTGAATATTTACATTCTCACATTCAGGTTAAACATCCACCCATTAGTTGTCTTATGCTTGGCAGTGTCATGAAACCTGGTTGGAACTGGTTGAGATCTTTCCAGAACACACAGAAAACAGGTCACAAAAGCCTGGAGGCAATAAGTAATCTTGCATTATGATTAATGTTGATGGAAACTTATGTAATCCTTATTTTAAATGCAATATGAATTTATTACGATTTAATGATGATTAAAATACATGTAATCCTTTTCTTAATGACATTAAGAACTACGGTTATGAGTAATGTGATTCTGGTTGGAAAATAGAAATGGAAAAAACATAAAATATGTAGCATGAACTGTAGCGGGTCGTAACGTCTGGATCTGAAGGTAGTTAGAGCTTAGATGCATCTTTCTCGCGCCCAGCTTAAACAAAATGTCCTCTACATTTGTATCTGTGGTAATACTCAGGAATTAGAGGCTTTTCGGACCCGTTAGTTGGAGAGCTGGTCAGTAGTCAGTCCGCTGGAGTCTGGGAGGTGTTAGGGGCGTGGCTGATTACTGCATAATAACAGCAGGTAATGGGTTGTTGGGAGCAACATGTCCAGGAGGGAACTCCAAACTCCCTCCTCCCTAGTGACATTCATCCTCTCATTCAGGAGGATAATAAAGTGTTTCCAGGCCAGAAACCTTCCAGTAAGGTCAGATTTTATAATAATTTCATTTATTTAACCAAGTAAAACCCCACTGAGATCCAGATCTCATTTTTAAGAAATACCTGGGAGGAAATCATAAACACACAACAACCTGGTTACACAAAAGAGCCAACAGATCAGAAAAAACAGAAAACCAGCAGATTTTCAACTCCTCACTGAATATCTATGGCTGAGTTCATCCCTATGAAGGAAGCTCATTTCAGACACTTGTGCAGGATCTCAGTGTTTTGATCCTGATTCATGTTTCTTGACCAAAGGCAAGGGTTGGAATGTATGGTAACCACTAAGAGTTTTGTTTTTTGGCTCAGCGTTTTCTGTACCAAAACACACTGGAACAGCAGTACTGGCAATACTGCCTTGTGGAATCAGTCTGCTCTTCCTGGTCTCTTTCATTCAAAATGATGATTTTCCAGTAGCACCGGTCCTCTGATGCCAACCTCGAATTTAACCATCAGATTTTATCACCCTGATGATTCTGAAGTTTGTCATTGTTGCAAAAACTGGGTCTAACACAACAGTGTGCATGTGTTTTAAAAGGACGGAACCCCGAAAGGACAGGTGGGGCAAAAGTGGGTGTAAAAAAAAAATTATGCAATTCAAAACCAATGTTGCACAATCGCTCACAGCTCAGAGCACCATAAAACCAGTGAAAAGAAAGAACACTAGTTGAAATAAACAAACTGCCTGTTAAATTCCGTTGAGAAAATACAAAAAAATAATACTCTGTTATAAATGAAGCCGCTGCCATGATGAAGACTGGTTTGGAGAGAACTTACAGAAAATCCCAACACCATGTAAGGCATGGGAAGCAGTCCATACAAGGCGGGTCGCTGGATGCAGGTTTCTTTCTGAAAAAAGCAAAAAAAAAAAAAGACAAAAACACATAAAATATTATGTAGTTTAATACTGACATGTTGTGAAGGGACTAAATGATGATCATCCCAACAAGGAGGAGAGGATGACCAGTTTAGAACATTGTGAGTCATTATGATCTGATTGGATTTTGCTGCAGATTCCTAAATTCTTTCTGGATACATCTGTTTCTAAAACTTTCTGTACATTTATGCTTTTTAGTATTTACATATTTATTTATGTGTTTATTTAAAACAGACAAAATTAAGGTATAATCTCCAACATTACAGGAGATGCAATTAGTGCCTGTCTATATTTAAATCATAAATTGGAACCGTATTCTGAAAGCGCCTTAGACAAATGCATTATTTGTCCAATGCTATTTGCTTTATGGTGGAGGGCCACATAACAAAGAGCTATATGAGACCGGATTGCTTGAGTGTTGTTCCAGGTGGGCCTAATTTAGAGATTCACTATCTGATGATGCATAAAAGTGAAAAACAACTTATGGATGTTGTTCAGTAGATTCTGTAGTGTTTTGGCCAGAGCAGCTCCTGTACACACTGTCACCTGGTTACTTGAGGCTCAGTTCTGCCTCTGCTTGGCTCTTCTCTTCATACAGACAGAATGAACTGGTCAGCCATAGAAAAAAAAAACTTTCTGAAACACAGACATGTTTTCCCAAAGATAAAAGAAAACAACTCAAAGCTTAGCACAGGCTTCAGGGCCACTGAGTTTTATGAAACAGGGGGAAATTTTCTGCATGTTTTGTCAGCACACAAGGATACAACAAATACTCAGAAATATAGAGAAACTAGCTAGTTAGCTTCTGTCAGTCTTAAATATTTAAATGGTCAGCAGTACTATAGTCACTTATCAATTCTTAAATATTTAATCTGTAAGGTGACTATTGCTCTGTGTCCTGAATCAGACATTCCTTTAAGAAAAAAGAAAACAAACTGTTCTGTTTTGATAGAGCAATGGAAATGGCCCTGGACAGCACTATTTCCAGAAAAAAACTAACAAAGGTCACAGAAGCGTACATGAGCTTTTAGTTTGTTTTTTTCTCATGTGATGAGTATTTTTGTGTTGAGTTCAATTAAAGCATTTTTGAAAAGTTAAGCTAAAAATGAGTTAAGAAAGTATTAACTTTCTTAAAATAACTTTAACTGGGAAAACTATCAATAAGGACGAGAGAGAGCAGGATAAGCTGTTCCATCTTCAGCTGTCGGAGTTCATCATCTACTAAAGTAAATTGTAACCATATAAACCATATATGTAATTTATCAAATGAACTAAGCTCTCAGGATAAGTGCCATTTAAAAATATAACTGATGGCAAAGCAAAGGCTCAATAACAAGGAAATGGCTTAAAGGGGACCCACCAATATTGACAGAATGGTCAGCTACTGTAGAAGAAATATGTCAAATGGAAATGGTTACTTTCTAGTAAACATGTCCAAAAATATAGGTCAAAATGCTTAAAATATGTGAACTCGAAAGTAATGTGAAGTACTGTCCTCTTTGGTCTTCTTTATAATTCTGAAAGGACAAGGGGACAGAACTGGGACTGGAAAAACAAAGTAAGTAAAAACCAATGTTGCAAAATTGCTCATAGCTAAGGCACCACATAACCAGTGGATTACAGGAGCATTAGCTGAAAAAAACAAGCTGCTTACATTAAATTCATTTGGGACATTGAGAGATTGACTCAGTTGTAAAAGAAGTCGCCATGATAAAGACTGGTTTGGAGAGAACTTATAGAAAAGCACAACACCACACAGGACAGGAGTTCTTAGAGGAGTGTTTGCTAGCTGCAGGTTCTGCTGGGTGTTTCTCTCTGGAAAAAATATGTTAAGAACACATGGAAAAGATGATATAGTTTAATCCTGAGAAGTTCTAAAGGAAATAAATGAGGGCCATCCCAACATTGAGGAGAGGGTAACAAGTTTAACATACTTTAAATGAGTCACTATGAGAAGATGAATTGGTTGAATTTTTCCGCAGATTCCAAAACTACTCTTGATCCAGACATATCTGACAAGTCTGGATATGCTTGTCTGTGTTCGGGCAGAAATTGTGATTGCTCACAATACAATCTAAACCAGTCTGGTGCTGTTCTTTTGATTCCTCTCTGCTCCTTATACTTGAAAAAGAATTCCTTAAACTCCAACTCCAAACCAATTAGGTCTTAGTTCGTACGCTATATTGCCAAAAGTATTTGATCGCCCATCACACAAAACACACTGAGTTTTGACAATAGGAAAGCACTGCTTGCTAGAATGAATTCACATGAATTCCTGCACAGGTTCTATTTCAGAGTTGCTGGTCAGAAAGGAACCAAGGTCTCCTCAAGATCTCCAAATAATGATCTTGAGGGCCAGTTTCCTGCAACTTTTAGATGTGTTTTGGAGGCTGATTTAACGCCACCCAGATCAAGTGACTGACAAAGCAGTTTCTGTTTCAGAGGTCCTGCTCAAGTAGTAATGGTAATCTACCTAACTGGTTGAATTAATCAGAATTTTTGGGTAAAAAAGGATTAGTATCATCAGCACAACAGTGGGAATTTATCTCATATGGAAGCGAATGTATAATCAAGAAAAAATTACTCAAGCACAGACCACTGTAGTTACTCTACAAGTAATCCTGGTGCTTGGAGCTCCTGGAATCTGGCAGGGAAATACAATCTAAACCAGCCTGGTGCTGTTCTTGTGATTCCTCTCTGCTCCTTATACTTGAAAAAGAATTCCTTAAACTCCAAACCAATTGGGTCTTAGTTCGTACACTATATTGCCAAAAGTATTTGCTCGCCCATCCAAATGATCAGAATCAGATGTTCCAATCACTTCCATAGCCACAGGCGTATAAATTTAAGCACATAGGCACACAGACTGGTTTTACAAACATTTGTGAAAGAATGGCGAGCTCTCAGGATCTCAGTGAATTCCAGCATGGAACTGTGATAGGATTATGGTGTGGGGTTGTTTTTCAGGAGCTGGGCTTGGCCACTTAGTTCTAGTGAAAGGAACTCTGAATGCTTCAGCATAACAAGACATTTTGGACAATTACATGCTCCCAATTTTGTGGGAACAGCTTGGAGCTGGTCCCTTCCTCTTCAATCATGACTGAACACCAGTGAACAAAGCAAGGTCCATAAAGACATGGATGGCAGAGTCTGGTGTGGATGAACTTGACTGGCCTGCACAAAGTCCTGACTTAAACCTGTCAGGACACATTTGGGATGAATTAGAGAGAGACTGAGAGCCAGGCCTTCAGTATGTGACCTCACAAATCCACGTTTGGAAGAATGGTCAGAAAAATCCATAAACACTCCTACACCTTGTGAACAGCCTTCCCAGAAGAGTTGAAGCTGTTCTAGCTGCAAAGGGGGACCAACATCATATTGAACCCTATGGATTAGGAATGGGATGTCACTTAAACTCACATGTGAGTCAAGTCAGGTGAGCAAATACTTTTGGCAATATAGTATATGAATGACTGGGTAATAATATTAGATGGTCAGCTGAGAACAGGAAATCTAAATCTTGACTTAAGAACTTGTTGAACTTACGTGTTGCTTACGTGTTTAATAGACTCTCGACCTGGAGAAAGTTAAAACAACATGAGATGGTGTTTAGCTTTAGCAATAGTAGTAAAGAAAAGAGAAACAGCTGTCATTAGAAAGTTGTGGACTGACCTGGTTTAGAAGGTGACTGTACATCAGACAACAGTTGTGGATATTCGGTTTGAAGATGATCAATCAGCTTTTTGGAGGTTTTATTTTCCTCCACTCTGTCAACTAAGCAAGTGGCCATGTTAACTGGGGTGTGGTTTTGAAAGATTTTATCCTTGTCCGATGACTTCAAGATGTTTGCACTCATGAGATCCTCTGTGAGTTGTGTAAAGGTTTCTTTTGGTACCTTCTTCAAACAATCTAGAAGCATCCTGTTGAGTTCTTTCTCTGTAGGAAGAAATACAAATCACTGCAGTTCCTTGATGGAAATTTTGTGAAGCCATAAAGCTCAGATTATGGAGCCCATGCTAGTTGTACCTTCACTTGGAGAAGATGAATTAATCTGCTCTTCAGTTTCAGGTATAACTTTGTCTGTTGGGAACCAGAATAAATGTTTAGCAGGAACTTCTTCTGATGTTTCAAGTTTTTTGCTCCATCAAACAGACCTTTATTGCTTTCAATCTTCTTCAGGATCTTCTTCGTGACCTCCCTGGTGTTTGGGGTGTACGTCTTAATCATCAGATCTACCGTTTCCAGACTGTCTGCACCATCCAGCTTAGATTTTGTGATGGGTTTGAAGCCATCCTTGGACTCGTCTGCAGTGTGAAGGTACCACTGGAATAACTTCAGCTGCTTCTTATCCGGGTTTTCCAATTTGTCCAGAAGCCAAATTTTAAAACCCTGCCATAGTTGAAAAATATTCATTAGTATTAAACAAGTTAAGAACATCTTCTCTGAACTCATACTCCCTCTGATGAGAGAAATTAAGAAGCTTCCTGTGTGTAGGGAATCAAAGTAAATGTAATTACATGTCCTTCATATGGAATTATCTTCTTGAAAATCTTGTCTGCCACCTCCTTGGTCTTTGTGGTGTACTTCTGAAACATCAGATCTACAGTGTCCAATCTGTCTGCATGTTCCAGACGGCTCTTTTTGATTCGTGGGAAATCAACCTCGGACTTGTCTGAAGTATGAAGGTACCAGTGGAAGTACTTAAACTCTTTGCTGTCCAGATCATCCAAGCGGTCCTTCAACCATTCCTTTATAAAACAGATAATGGAAGGTAGACAAATGTCATCAACAAGGCAGCTCACTGATGTTAGGACTCTAGTATTGATGGGTCCAGGGTCACATCTTCAGGTTTTTTGCCTGACTATATCTTAAAGCAGTGTACAAAATATCTTCTTACAGACAAGTGAAGAAAAACTGTTCCCAAAGAGCCTAACAATAACCATGAACATTACTGGAGTCTTTCAAACCACAGAAAATCTTGGTATCATAGGCAGTATTGTTTTCAATCTTACAAAATAAAAAATAATCATTATTATTTTTGATTGATTTAGCCAGAAAAAAAATATGAATGTGGATGTTTTTAGAGTCCTATTTTAACCACGGCTCCTAATTTACTACCTCATATTTTAGCTTAACTTTAAAATAAATGAATGTCTTGTAAGATGAATTCTTTTTTGCAATTAGTATTCCATATGACAAGCCTTATACTTGCTTAATTTTATGTATTTGTTTTGTTAAGAAAACAGTCATTCTTATTTTTGCATATTTTAATCAAACTTTTTTTTAACACAAAACATTTTTAACACCAAAATTAATGAACAAAACACTGAAAACTAATCTACTGGATAGACTCATAATATTATTTTTTATTATCTTGCATATTATAAAATATCTTTAAACTGCAGTTTAAAATATCTGGACAAAAACATAAAGCATTTTGCTCGTCACCGGTGTCTACTGACAGAGAGAATGTGTTGCCCATCTTATCTAGCCCAGCAACGGTCTACAATCTCACACACAGTGCTTCATGTGAGTATTTATATCAACTTTAAATGGTTTAGTCCTCATGTACTTTATTATGGCTCACAAGCACATAATCCCATATATAATAACTTCTGGTTATTATATTTAACATTAACATTAACTGCTATGGTCTTCAGCCTGCAAACATGATAGTAGCGGTTTTTTTAAGGTAACAAAGATGAAAATAGACAAAGCTATCTAGATGCACTATGGTAGGAAAATCTGACAAGGTATCACAGATCGTCAGAGCACTGGCTCACTTCAAAGACAGCCAAAACGTTCATGACCGACTCATCACTATTCAATACATATAAAGTTAGCAAACTAAATATTTAGGTTCAATTTAAATATTTAGTTTGAAAATGAAATAATTAGTTTGGAAATGTAATGTTTAGTTTTAAAATAAACATTTAATATGGCAAATTAACATGTTAGTTTGAAAATAACTATTTAGCTCTGAAATAAAATTTTCAGTTTGTAAAATAAACTTTTGTTTTGTAAAACAAACATTTACTTTGAAACTAAATATTTAATTATGAGCTAAATATGCACTTTGTTAACTAAATATTGCTTGTAAAATAAATATTTCATTTGGAACAAAAATATGGTGAAAATACGAATTTGAAAATTAACATCCTTTTTATTCTTTTATGACAAGTTAAACAGACCAAAATACTGCAATATTTTTTTATTGTGTTATTTTACTAGCTGCACTCGATAGCATATAGCTTGAACATGATGGATGGTGACTTACAGCGTCTTGTCCTTCAGGACAGATCTCCCGCAAGAATTCCTTCCCGTCATCGAAGTAGCTATGGGTCAAAAGATTATCCTAACTTTAGTGAAGGTTCATTTTTATAGAAATATCAGTTACAGAAAATTTGCTTATATCACTTTCTAGAGTTGAAATCATGCTTCAACTCTAGAAAGACCAGTTGAAAACAAGCCTTTGTCAATCTGAGACGATTTATCACCTGGTTGGATTTTACTACAGATTCCTAAACTGTATCTTGATATGTCAGTTTCTAAAGCTTTAACATTTTATACTTGGAAATATGCAATCAGAAATGGTGATTGTTTCAAATGACTGATCCTCCAACACAGACTAATTAAAACACTTCATCAGAGGGTGATGTTTAGCTAAACTGGGTCCAGTGATGAACCAGTGCTAACACTTTTTTCACACTATTTTATTCTGTTTCTACACTGAGTTTGGCACAAGGCTTCATCCTGGTACCGACTTATCAGTGCAAGAGAACAGATCAACCTTGTTCTGGAGCATGGTTCAAACTTGAAGATTCAGTGGGATTTTCAATACACTATTTGATCATAGTGGTTCAAGATTAACACAAAACACACTGAATTTTGACAATAAGAAACACTTATGAGTTAAATTAGTCTCAGGCAAGCAGCTTTTTGCCCTCAATCGAGGAGCTGTGGTTGGGATCTTGTGAGTACAACGTCACGCTGCAAGGGGTCCATACACTTTTTGAATGAATTAAATAAATAAATATATTAAATTCTCTCAGCTGTCTTTGTGTTTTAAAATACTTTATAAGTGTTTTAATTACACATTGTGATTGAGGCTTTCCTAATATGTTAACCATTGTTATTGAAATGCCTCCCTGCTGGAGGGCAAAAAGCTGTCGTCAGTGATTACAATCAGCGATGTTAGTTGTGAAGTTGTGGACAATTCGAAGTGTGTAAATTTGACAAACTCTTTATACATATGTGAGTGTTCAGGTTAGTATTTATGCATTGTTTTAAGTACATCTGTTAATTATGAGGTACACTTACAAATCTTGTATTCTTTTGGGCATCATTGTACACTTGATAAATCTTTCTGAGACTAACGTAGCTCTATAAACGCTTGCTGGAAAATGAATCACATTAAATCCTGCAACACGTCTCCGATGACGGAATAACATTACAACATGATGTAAAGCTCATAAAAGTTGATTTTACATAATACTACGCCTTTAAAATCTCATCGACTAAACCCCTGAACAGTCTTGGGCCTAAAGATGTTTCAGAGTTGCTTTTCAGAAAGGAACCATGTAGACCAGGTGCTTCCGAATACAGACCTTGAATTCTAGTTTCCTGCAACTTTTAAATTGTCATCATTGACATGGATGATAATTTAATGTCATCCATGTCAAGTGACTGATAACACAGTTTCTGTTTCAGAGAAAATTGTAATCTACTGAACTGGTTGGATTCATCAGTATTTTTGGATAAAAAAAGTATTAGTATCATGAGCATAAAAGTGGAACGTTATCCCATGAGGAAGCAAATATATAGTTGAGAAAAATGACCCAGCAGCCTTGTGGTACTCCACCAATAATCCTGGAATTTTAGATCCTGATATCTGCCAGACAAATATGATATAAACTAGCCTTGTGCTGTTCCTCCCTACTCCTCATACTTTTAATTTAATTTACTAAATTCCAAAACAAGCTGACCTTAGTTCATATTAATAATTGGATAAGAATGTTGGAAGGGCAGCTGAAGAAATTTGATCTGACTCTGGATTTTAGAACCATTTATTGAACTTACGTGTTGCTTACGTGTTTACTAGACTCTCGACCTGGAGAAAGTTAAAACAACATGAGATGGTGTTTAGCTTTAGCAATAGTAGTAAAGAAAAGAGAAACAGTTGTCATTAGAAAGTTGTGGAATGACCTGGTTTAGAAGGTGACTGTACATCAGACAACAGTTGTGGATATTCGGTTTGAAGATGATCAATCAGCTTTTTGGAGGTTTTATTTTCCTCCACTCTGTCAACTAAGCAAGTGGCCATGTTAACTGGGGTGTGGTTTTGAAAGATTTTATCCTTGTCCGATGACTTCAAGATGTTTGCACTCATGAGATCCTCTGTGAGTTGTGTAAAGGTTTCTTTTGGTACCTTCTTCAAACAATCTAGAAGCATCCTGTTGAGTTCTTTCTCTGTAGGAAGAAATACAAATCACTGCAGTTCCTTGATGGAAATTTTGTGAAGCCATAAAGCTCAGATTATGGAGCCCATGCTAGTTGTACCTTCACTTGGAGAAGATGAATTAATCTGCTCTTCAGTTTCAGGTATAACTTTGTCTGTTGGGAACCAGAATAAATGTTTAGCAGGAACTTCTTCTGATGTTTCAAGTTTTTTGCTCCATCAAACAGACCTTTATTGCTTTCAATCTTCTTCAGGATCTTCTTCGTGACCTCCCTGGTGTTTGGGGTGTACGTCTTAATCATCAGATCTACCGTTTCCAGACTGTCTGCACCATCCAGCTTAGATTTTGTGATGGGTTTGAAGCCATCCTTGGACTCGTCTGCAGTGTGAAGGTACCACTGGAATAACTTCAGCTGCTTCTTATCCGGGTTTTCCAATTTGTCCAGAAACCAAACTTTAAAGTCCTTCTATAAATGAAAAAGATTAATTAGTATCATACCAGTCAATAAAATCTTCTCTGAACTCATACTCCCTCTGATGAGAGAAATGAAGGACCTTCCTGTGTGTAGGGAATAAAGGTAAATGGAATTACATGTCCTTCGTGTGGAATTATCGTCTTGAAAATCTTGTCTGCCACCTCCTTGGTGTTTGTGGTGTACTTCTGAAACATCAGATCTACTGTGTCCAATCTGTCTGCATGTTCCAGACGGCTCTTTTTGATTCGTGGGAAATCAACCTCGGACTTGTCTGAAGTATGAAGGTACCAGTGGAAGTACTTAAACTCTTTGTTGTCCAGATCTTCCAGACCCTTCTTCAACCATTCCTTAGTTTCCTTTAAAAAACAGATAAAGGGAATAATACATAAATCACCATCAAGGCTGTCAGAAAGCCTACCCTTGTTGGAATCCATTTTTATAAACAAACTGATGGGATCTAATTCCTAATTATTTCTTTTGTTGGAGATATCAGCTTCGTTGTGCTAAAGACACCTCTGCCAAGCTACCCCCATTGCGATAAGGGGATCAGATACGAATCTGCTACAAAAACCACTACAAAAGCAAGACCTAAGCTTTGCTTTTGGAATCAACCTCCAACTGACACACAAGAACTTTGAACCTTTTTTTCTAACCTGGTGGCAAGATTTATTTCAAAACCTTCAAAGTGTTCAATGGAGAACTTCTAGCAGTCTGTAAAGCCCATTTTTCTGGGTTCCCATAGAGACATGAAAGTCTCTTGATGCGTTTTACCTGCAGAGGCCTACGATAGTGGCCTCCATGCCTTGACAATAAAGGTCCTTTCCTTGGTTTTTCAAGCCCAATGTACTTGGGTCATGAGGCTCTGCTGAGAAACTCCAACTGGGACACCAGCCTGAAGAGAACAAGTTCTTTCCTGTACTTTGAGAAATGTCTACAAAGTACTTGCCTGTAAATCTGATCTCCTCGAATAAAGTATACCTTTCATCACAAGTGCTATCCTTGCCATGAAAGTCAAGGATCAGACTTATAACCGACCAGCTGCCAGTTTGTCTGGTTGCACTCCCTAAATTTGAAGATGATGACTTCAAACTAAGGCGTTATTTTTTTCCACAATTCTCAATATTTGTAAATCACACTAAAATATGACATCACTGTCAATTTTTATTGGTTCTATTTTTATGTTTTTTTTACTTCTATTATTACTACTAGAAGTAAATAACACTTCAAGTAGCAGAAATATTATATACTTCTAGTAAATATTACTTCTAGACAACCAAAGTTGGCTAGAACTTTGGTTAGCTTTTTATTTCATTTTATTGGTTCTATTTTTATGTATTTTTACTTCTAGTATTAGTTTTACTTTTGTATCTTTTTGTCAGTTCTTTTTGCTTCTGTGTTACTAGCTTAGGAAGTTAATTGACTAAAACCTGAAGGTAGATTAATTTTGTTGATAAACTCTTGTATATTTTAATGAAGCCTTGGCGCAAATTCAAACTGGAAGACTCTTCAGCCTTACCTGCATCATCCAATCGCCGCATCACGCTCACCACCACCTCGGTGGTGGAAATAATTACATGCCCATGCCCTGTCACGTCCAATCACCAATCAAGTTCCCGCTTATAAGAACCCTCATCCATGGCAATATTCGCTTTCCAGCTACGCTCAACCCACTTCCACCCCTTCTCCACCTGCATTCTCCCAAGTTGCCATCCTTCCTCTGATCTCCATCACCAGTGTAAGGGCCCAGGGGAGAAGACATCCCTAATCAGCATCGGGAATGCTCATCTTAGCTTATTGCAATTCACAGCACAGTCTTCTGCCAGGGTCTGAGCGCCAAAAAACTTTAATTCATTTATGTCAATAAACCTTTTAAATCGTTGTTTTTCTCTGTCTCAGTCTCTCCAGATTTGTATTTATACCATACATGTGTAGCATCGTGCAGTTCAGATATTGCCAGTGCTGGACTTATGCCTTCATCTAATATTATTTAAAAATATAGGCCCTATTGGGAAGGTATGATGAATACTAAGACTGAAATATTTGGTTATATACAGTGGAGGTCAAACTTATTAGCTCCTCAATGAAATTTTAAGTCTTTTTCAAAAATGTCTCAAGTGCTGTTAGAAAACATTAAGGGTGCCCTTTGATCAAAAATTTTGACAGGTGACTTTTGACATTTGAGGAGAGAGCCAAGTGGAGGGGCATGATGACATAATTGGACACGTGACCTCACGTGGCTTCACATGGCAGCACATAATAATAGCATGTGATAGTCTATGTTTGGATGTCAGTGGACAGTAGGTGTTTCTGAATTACAAACCGGATTCCAAAAAAGTTGGGACACTAAACAAATTGTGAATAAAAACTGAATGCAATGATGTGGAGATGGCAAATGTCAATATTTTATTCGTAATAGAACATAGATGGCAGATCAAAAGTTTAATCTGAGTAAATGTAACATTTTAGAGGAAAAATATGTTGATTCAAAATTTCACAGTGTCTACCCAAGTAAAAAAAAAGAAGTATGCTTTAGTATACTAAATTTTAAGATACTTTAGCATAATTTGCTTTCTGTACTTAAACTATTCTATTTTGGAACATTTTTTGTGCTTAGTATACTTTAGTAGTATTTAAATAGTATTAAATTACAACGTTTAGTATACTTTAGTATACTCAACGTACTTTTTTGGAACAACTTAAAGTTGTTCTTAGTATACTTTAAGTATACTTTTTTTATGTAGTATACAAGAGAAATATTCCAAAAATATTCCATATTGAGTGTACTAATTCCATCATAGAATTATATTAAAAATATATTTTTAATGTATTTTAGATATACTACTAATATATTAGTAATGTATTTAAATTACACTTAATTTTCAGTTTTGAGTTACTGCTATTGCTAATAAAGTACAATTTTAATTACTCATAAGTCTTTTGTACATTACATGCATAACTACACTACAGTACTTACATTGTTTTAGGCTACAATTAAATGGAAAGATTAATTACACAAGTTGCCGAAGGTAATTCAAATATTTTGTTTTATTACCGACATGTGGTAAAACATTTATGGGTGTCTTCTTTGCCTGTTTGTGTTAGAAGAAGAAAAAAATAGTCAGCAATGTCATATAATCAGTTGATGTTGGCATTAACTATGAAACTGTTTTAAGTGTGGACTTAAGGAGATAAACTACCTTAAAATCTTTCCATCCATGATGTGAACACACTGATCCTTGCAGGGTAGCGAGGGGGGCTAGTGGTGCCCATCTCCAGCAGCCATTAGATGAGAGGATCCTGGACAGGTCACCAGTCCATCACAGGGCCCTGAAAGCCAACAACAAATAAAATGTATGAAAGAGAAATGTTAGATTAGCAAGGGTAAAAATTCTGTCCAGTTATCTTTAAATCAAATCATGTTTATTAAGCACTTGGTGTTGGTAACACACCAGTTTTTGTTGTTGAAAATGTAGCTAGCTCCTCATTAAAAAAACAAAAACAAACTTACATCATGAAGACGATGTGAAGGTTCATCTTCAGAGCTGGTTGGTGATCTGGTGGAGCCAGAGATTCTTCTGAGACAGGAAAGTCTTTAGTTTCCTAACACCTGATTTCTCTGGCTTCCTCCTTCATCTTCATTTGCTTAGACTGCAAACATATGTTGAAGATAAAAAGATTGATGATGAAGTTATAACAACAACCTCACAATATCAAAGTCTCTCTGTCTTATGGAGCTTAATTAAAATCAGGTTTAGTTTATGAATAAAAGTATAAGTCGCAACAAACAGAGCCTCCATGCTGTTGTAACATGAAGCTGAATGATTGCTATAGTAATAATCATACAAGTCACAATAAAATTATGAAACCAACGTAAGTTATATATCTTTACTGCACTGTTTATAATTAAATGAAGATAATTAATAAGCAAACTTACCACCAGCTAGCAACACGTTAGCAGCCTTCGTCCCTCCGGGCTCCTTTTGTGACACACATTTCATTTCCATCGGTTGTTGTCCCGTTGTGTTGTCGTCTAACTCGGATTAGGACGTCACCAGCTTGAATTTACCAAAATTAGTAACTATTGTCAAGGCCCTCTCTACTTTTAAGGCAATATTATGCGAGTAAAAATGGCGAATTTGAACAGCGTCTGTTATTTTCTCTGGCTCATGGCTTCTTTTTAAGGCTTTTTTTTTTAATCAAAGTGTGCAAAACCGCCACCATCTGGTCTGGAGTGTGAACTGGAGCTAATGCCATTGATTATAAGGTTTTACATCACACATCTGAAAATGGATTGGGTACTTTCTTAGAAATTACATCATGATTATCATTTTTTATTGTATGCAATTTTAGTAAATAGTAAAATATTATTAAGGCACTTCAAAATTCATACTTTTTTGGTACTTAAAAAGTATGACTACATATTACATTAAACACACTTTAAAGGTGCCTAAAAGACATACTTCTGCATATGTATTAGTTTTATTTTGTAATCAGGTTGCTGCGTGATGCAGACTTCTGCCCAGGTCCCTCTTGAAAATGAGATCTGGATCTCAACGGGGTTCACCCGGTTAAATAAAGAAGTTAAAAAAGGCATACTTTATTAGCCTAAAATTTACACTGAGATGCAGTTTCAAACATACTGAAATTAATAATTTAAAGTAGTGTTAAGTAAATTTTAAAAAATTCTATTTTGAGCATATATTTTTAAATATACACAAAATATATTTTAAATATACTTGAGAAAGTGTATATTTACACTTGGCCAAATATATATTTTGTTCACTTAAAGTATACTTTTATTTAATATATTAAAAGTGTATTTTGGTACAATTATGTTTAAGTGTGTTTAAAGTTCTAATTTCAAAATTGGTACCTTTAGTATACTTCAGATATACTTATAGGTAGTACACTTAATATTTAGTATACTTAAAGTGTACTTTCACAAATTTAAATATGTTTGAAATATACTAAAGTATACTTTTTTTTCACCTGGGTACAAATCCCAAAAAATTTGGGACAAGTAGCGATAAGTGGCTGGAAAAAGGAAATTGAATATAACAGGAAGACCAATTAACACTAATTAGGTCAATGGACAACATGATTGGATATAAAAAGAGCTTCTTAGAGTGTCAGTGTCTCTCTGAAGCCAAGATGGTAAGAGGATCACCAATTCCACCATTGTTGCGCAGAAAGATAGTGCAGCAATACCAGAATGGTGTTACCCAGCGTAAAATAGCAAAGACTTTTAAGTTATCATCATCAACCGTGCATAACATCATCAAAAGATTCAGAGAATTTGGCACAATCGCTGTGCGTAAGGGTCAAGGCCGTAAAACTCTACTGGATGCTCGTGATCTCCGGGCCCTTAAACGTCACTGCACCTCAAACAGGAATGCCACTGTCAAGGAAATAACAGCATGGGCTCAGGAATACTTCCAGAAAGCATCGTCAGTGAACACAATCCACCGTGCCATCCGCCGCTGCCAGCTGAAACTCTACAGTGCAAAGAGGAAGCCATTTCTAAGCAGCTCCACAAGCTCAGCCGTTTGCACTGGGCCAGGAGTCATTTAAAATGGAGCGAGGCAAAATGGAAGACTGTTCTGTGGTCAGATGAGTCACGATTTGAAGTTCTTTATGGAACACTGGGACGCCATGTCATCCGGACCAGAGAGGACAAGGATAACCCAAGTTGTTATCAATGCTCCGTTCAGAAGCTGCATCACTGATGGTATGGGGTTGCATGAGTGCTGCTGGCCTGGGCAGCTTGCATGTCTGGAAAGGCCCCATTAAAGCAGAGAGCCATGTTCAGGTTCTAGAACAACATATGCTCCCATCTAGACGTCATCTCTTTCAGGGAAGACCCTGCATTTTTCAACAAGATAATGCCAGACCACATTCTGCAGCAATCACAACATCATGGCTATGTAGGAGAAGGATCCGGGTACTGAAATGTCCAGCCTGCAGTCCAGATCTTTCACCTATAGAGAACATTTGGCGCATCATAAAGAGGAAGGTGCGACAAAGAAGGCCCAAGACGATTGAACAGTTAGAGGCCTGTATTAGACATGAATGGGAGAGCATTCCTATTTCTAAACTTGAGACACTGGTCTCCTCTGTCCCCAGACGTCTGAGTGTTGTAAGATGAAGGGGAGATGCCACACAGTGGTAAAAATGGCCTTGTCCCAACTTTTTTGGGATTTGTTGACGTCATGAAATTTTGAAACAACATATTTTTCCCTTAAAATGATACATTCTCTCAGTTTAAACTTTTGATCTGTGATTTGTGTTCTATTGTAGATAAAATATTAGATGATGGCACCTCCACATCATTGCATTCAGTTTTTATTCATAATTTGTTTAGTGTCCCAACTTTTTTGGAATCCAGTTTGTATACTGTTACTTTAGATTTAAGTAAAATCTTAAGAGTAATGTAAAACATTGTACTTTAAACTAACTCCTGCGAAACTCCATTCTAAGTATGTTCCCTCACATTAAGGCATGTGATGACATATGGTGGTACATCTCAGCCTCAATGAATTACCCTTTCAAAATACGGTATATCTATGAATCTCTTTTTGAGCATAGCCCTTCAGATGAAGGCTTTGGGCTGAAGCCTAGCTTGAGATAGTTTTAATAATGTTATTTCAGTTTAGATTCAATTTTGACGAGTTTGCGCAATTTGTTTAGTTTGGCATTATTTTGCCTAAAGTGTCTCACTACTGGCTTTCCACGGTTCAGTTTTCAGTGGTACAGCTTTGTATAAATTCGTCACAGCCCCTGTTTACCTATAAAAGCACATAGCCTCCTCCCTCTCCACCTCTATTACCCCACCTGCCTGATGGCGAGTCAGAATTTGAATAAGAATTATTATTAGTTATTGTTTTGAAAAAAAGAAGTCACTAGAGGAAAGATTTACAAAAATAGTGACAAAGTTGGTAAGTTGACAACAGCTTCTTTCGTACTGATCACACTCCCATCCATCTCCATGCTCATCCCCTCACTCGGTCGTGTTTCTCGGCTCCGCCACGTTTGCTGGAATTTTTCAAAATTTGCCATGGGTGCGGTTTAGCTTTCAGAGGTTAGTTACACTTTAAAGAGTTATGGCTTACTTTCAAAAGAATGGCTGTTGATTTTTATCAGTTGAATGCCCCCTCGGGGATGTGGATAAAGTGCAAGTTTTAGCATATGCTTCAGTTCCCCACGTCTTTAATTCATTCTCTCAGGTCAGAGTTTTCATTTTCAGTTTTACACGCTTGGCCAAGTCTGTAATGTCATCCACAGTTGCTCTGACTCTTTGTTCAAGCTAGTTGACGTACTGTCCAAGTATACTAAGTTACTAAGTGTCTCATTTATTTTTTTCAGACTAGCTTCATTTGCTGCATGAAATCCTGGAGGCCAGGTAAGTTTCCAGGATTTACATGGAATAATTCGCACATTACCCATTGTGAGGCCAGCAAACCTTTTCAGTCAGTGTAGAATGAAGAAATTATTGATTTAACACTTCAGGCTGTTTTGTTAGGCTCACCATAAGTATCCCATTTGCATCAGCCATTTTGTGATGATACATGAAGAAGTAAGTAAGTAAATATAGTTAGGAAAATTAATACTTATTTCTCAAAATATATGTTGAACTAAATATTTAAAGTACATATTGAATTATTTGCTTCTAAATATATACTTTGTAAACTAAGAATTTAGTTTGGAACTGTGACATTTGCAAATGTATGAGTAACAGTGAAAATCTGACTTTAAAATCAGCTATGACAGAATTAAACCAGAATACACAAACAAGAACAAACAAACAGCAACAAGCTTAAAGAAGATGGACGGTCACTTACAGCATCCTTGTCCCCTTTGGGACAAATCTCCTGCCAGGTTTTCTTCATGTCCTCGGGAAGTCTTTGGGTCAAAAGATGATGCAAATTTTAGTGACGGTTCATTTTTGTAAAAATGTTATCAGCTACAGCAGATAAAATTATTATACATGTTGTAATCATGTTCCAGCCACTAGATATTAGAATATGAGTCACTCTGAGGAGATTTATGATCTGGTTGGATTTTTACCAAATTCCTAACCTCCCCCTGCATACTTTCATACAAACATCAAACATCTGAAAATTACTATAAGGACTAACAAACTAACAGAGTACATTCAAACTCTTGATATAATGTAATGTTGAATAATCATGTTGAGTTCAGTGTGCAGATAAATTGTTCTTTCTTCTGTCCTAACCTGATCCAAAGTGGTGAGTATAAAATGCAATACTTTCAGTCAGACAGAGGATCTTATAGACTTAGATTGGTTTGTGTCTCCATGGAGATATGAGATGGAGTGTAGAAAATAGCCTAAACTTACCTCTGATTTAATGAAGCTTTAGTGTAAGTTTCACTCTGAGGTTCAGGTACTGGTCCAGGTTGAAGTGTCTGAGCACGTTCAGGTTCATGATGTTTCTGTCGTCTGAACATGACCAGACAACCAAAAAGGAAATGCTTTCAGGTAAGTATTTAGAGTCTCACATTCAGGTTAAATGCCCATTTATTAATTGTCTTATGCTTCTCAGGAAATATTTTGTTAGGGGCAGCAAGTCTAGGAGGGAACCTCAGACTTCACTCTTCCTAACAACATCCTGTGTTTCATTCTGGGAGATCCCAAAGGCCTTTCCAGGCCAGAAAGGATTTATAATACCTCCAGTGAGGTCTGATTTTGCCTGGAATTGCCTCCATCTGGGACTTACATGGAAAACCTCAAAAGCAGGAAGCTCATTTCAGCTCCTTTTATATCCAGGGTATCCTCCATTTGGTCCTAATCCATTTTCCCTGACCATAGGTGAGGGTAGGAATGTAGATAAGTCACTAACAGGTTTGCTTTTTGGCTCAGCTCTTTCTTCACCACATGTTGGACAGCAGTGCTGGTGACACCTACTGGTGGGATCACTCTGCTATTACTTTTCTGTTTTATCCAAAATTAACAATCTGCACTCCACTATGTTAAATAAAGCTAACATAGTAATGCATCCAGATGATTTAAGCATATATACATCAGCATTAACTAATACAAAACTAGACACCATTATGAGCAAGGAATTAAAAACAGTGACAGAATGAGTTAATGCAAATAAGATGGTCCTGAGTTTATCTAAAACTAATTGTATGATTTTGCAGTGAAATTATAATTTAATAGTGGTAATTCAATATTTAATATTAAATTAACAACATCCCTAAATACCAGGCAACTGACAAAAATAACTTATGAAATTAAGGGTTGATGATGAATTATTATGGAAAAAAACATCAAAAACATGATTGTATATAAGGGTAGAGGCTTGTCAATTATAGGAGAACATGCAAGTTTTATTAATTTAAATATCTTGAAAACAGCAGTTAAATGTTTGATGTTATCACATCTTGCCTATTACCCAGAAGGGGGATTATAAAATATACAAAACAGCAGTCACAACATATGAAATATGATTATAGTACTAATAATACCATCATCAATGAACAACATCCTGAACCAGTTATTGGCCAAAGATAGATTAATGCACTCACTGATTATTACACACATATCTGTCTTAAAATCACCTTTTATTACATTTAAAAATCTCACCTTTAATGAAGAGAAACGCAAGTATATAACAAGGCATGAGGTTGTAGGAAACTTTACTACATGTAAAGTATGATCATCAAATGCATTGTTTTTGTGGAGATCTATGTCTGATTTGATTTGAAATTCTCTCTCTCATTCTTTCTCTCTCTCTCAACATACGAATCAAGTGAACTTCAACTACTCCCTGTAACATATCTCTAAGATAGGGTGTCTGGGGACACTAGGGGGAAAACTAATTTCGGCTGCTTGTATCTGTGACCTCGTTCTTTCAGACATGACCTAAGGGTCATGACCATAGATGAGGGCAGGAACTTAGACCAGTAAATCAAGAGCTTCCTTTTTGACTCAGCTCTCTCTTCACCACGACAAACCAGTACATCACCCGCTTCACTGCAGACGCTGCACCAATTCACCTGTCGATCTCCCGTTCCACTTTGGAAAGGACACCCTCCCCGACCTGGAGAAGGCACTCTATTCTTTTTCAGCTCATTTATTTATGCATATATTGATATAGCTATGATTTTTTATTTTATTTATTGAGATAAAAGATGATAAAAGAAAGAACCTTGAAAATATTGATCAACAGGTTTTGCATGTCATTCAACACATTCTCCTTTTGGTTTTCTCATCTAAGGTGTCACACACAGAGAGACACACACAAACACACACACACACACACACACACACACACACAAATAATACACATGCACAATAAAGTATAGGCAGCAATGTTATCTAGCTTGGTTAGATAACTGGTGTTAACTAACTTTGAAGAAGGCTAATAGGTTGATTTGTGACAATAACACTGTCACAGTATTGATGATTGACACACACATTTGTGAGGTTAAAACACAGATAATACTTATATGTAAAANCTTTAAGTATACTTTTTTTATGTAGTATACAAGAGAAATATTCCAAAAATATTCCATATTGAGTGTACTAATTCCATCATAGAATTATATTAAAAATATATTTTTAATGTATTTTAGATATACTACTAATATATTAGTAATGTATTTAAATTACACTTAATTTTCAGTTTTGAGTTACTGCTATTGCTAATAAAGTACAATTTTAATTACTCATAAGTCTTTTGTACATTACATGCATAACTACACTACAGTACTTACATTGTTTTAGGCTACAATTAAATGGAAAGATTAATTACACAAGTTGCCGAAGGTAATTCAAATATTTTGTTTTATTACCGACATGTGGTAAAACATTTATGGGTGTCTTCTTTGCCTGTTTGTGTTAGAAGAAGAAAAAAATAGTCAGCAATGTCATATAATCAGTTGATGTTGGCATTAACTATGAAACTGTTTTAAGTGTGGACTTAAGGAGATAAACTACCTTAAAATCTTTCCATCCATGATGTGAACACACTGATCCTTGCAGGGTAGCGAGGGGGGCTAGTGGTGCCCATCTCCAGCAGCCATTAGATGAGAGGATCCTGGACAGGTCACCAGTCCATCACAGGGCCCTGAAAGCCAACAACAAATAAAATGTATGAAAGAGAAATGTTAGATTAGCAAGGGTAAAAATTCTGTCCAGTTATCTTTAAATCAAATCATGTTTATTAAGCACTTGGTGTTGGTAACACACCAGTTTTTGTTGTTGAAAATGTAGCTAGCTCCTCATTAAAAAAACAAAAACAAACTTACATCATGAAGACGATGTGAAGGTTCATCTTCAGAGCTGGTTGGTGATCTGGTGGAGTCAGAGCCTCTTCTCAGACAGGAAAGTCTTTAGTTTCCTAACACCTGATTTCTCTGGCTTCCTCCTTCATCTTCATTTGCTTAGACTGCAAACATATGTTGAAGATAAAAACATTGATGAACGAGTTAGAAAAACAACATCACAATATCAAAGTCTCTTTGTCTTATGGAGCTTAATTAAAACCAGGTTGAGTTTATGAATTAAAGTATAAGACGCAACAAACAGCTTCCATGCAGTTATAACATGAAGCTGAATGATTTCTATTGTAACAATCATACATGTCACAATAAAATTGATAAAATAATTATTTATGAAACCAACGTAAGTTATATATCTTTACTGCACTATTTACAATTAAATGAAGATAATTAATAAGCAAACTTACCACTAGCTAGCAACACGTTAGCAGCCTTCGTCCCTCCGGGCTCCTTTTGTGACACACATTTCATTTCCATCGGTTGTTGTCCCGTTGTATTGTCGTCCAACTCGGATTAGGACGTCACCAGCTTGAATTTACCAAAATTAGTAACTATTTTCAACGCCCTCTCTACTTTAAAAGCAATATTATGCGAGTAAAAATGGCGAACTTGAACAGCGTCTGTTATTTTCCCTGCGTTCAAGTTTTTCTTCTCTTGATGGCGTTTAAAAAAATGAAAGTGTGCAATACACCACCATCTGGTCTGGAGTATGAACTGGAGTTAATGCCATTGATTATATAAGGTTTTACATCACACATCTGAAAATGGATTGGGTACTTTCTTAAAAATTACATCATGATTATCATTTTTTTATTGTATGCAATTTTAGTAAATAGTAAAAGATTATTAAGGAACTTAAAAAAATCATACTTTTTAGATACTTAAAAAGGATGCCTACATATTACATTAAACACACTTTAAAGGTGCCTAAAAGACATACTTCTGCATATGTATTAATTAGTTTTATTTTGTAATCAGGTTGCTGCGTGTTGCAGACTTCTGCCCAGGTCCCTCTTGAAAATGAGATCTGGATCTCAACGGGGTTCACCCGGTTAAATAAAGAAGTTAAAAAAGGCATACTTTATTAGCCTACAATTTACACTGAGATGTAATTTAAAACAGTAAAATTAATAATTTAAAGTAGTGTTAAGTGAATTTTAAAAAATTCTATTTTGAGCATATATTTTAAAATATACACAAAATATATTTTAAATATATTTTAAATATACTTGAGCAAGTGTATATTTACACTTGGGCAAATATATATTTTGTTCACTTAAAGTATACTTTATTTAATATATTAAAAGTGTATTTTGGTACAATTATGTTTAAGTGTGTTTAAAGTTCTAATTTCAAAATTGGTACTTTTAGTATACTTCAGATATACTTATAGGTAGTACACATAATATTTAGTATACTTAAAGTGTACTTTCACAAATTTAAGTATGTTTGAAATATACTAAAGTATACTTTTTTTTCACCTGGGTACAAATCCCAAAAAATTTGGGACAAGTAGCGATAAGTGGCTGGAAAAAGGAAATTGAATATAACAGGAAGACCAATTAACACTAATTAGGTCAATGGACAACATGATTGGATATAAAAAGAGCTTCTTAGAGTGTCAGTGTCTCTCTGAAGCCAAGATGGTAAGAGGATCACCAATTCCACCATTGTTGCGCAGAAAGATAGTGCAGCAATACCAGAATGGTGTTACGCAGCGTAAAATAGCAAAGACTTTTAAGTTATCATCATCAACCGTGCATAACATCATCAACAGATTCAGAGATTTTGGAACAATCGCTGTGCATAAGGGTCAAGGCCGTAAACCTCTACTGGATGCTCGTGATCTCCGGGCCCTTAAACGTCACTGCACCTCAAAGAGGAATGTCACTGTCAAAGAAATAACAGCATGGGCTCAGGAATACTTCCAGAAAGCATCGTCAGTGAACACAATCCACCATGCCATCCACTGCTACCAGCTGAAACTCTACAGTGCAAAGAGGAAGCAATTTCTAAGCAGCTCCACAAGCTCAGCCGTTTGCACTGGGCCAGGAGTCATTTAAAATGGAGTGAGACAAAATGGACGACTGTTCTGTGGTCAGATGAGTCACGATTTGAAGTTCTTTATGGAAGACTGGGACGCCATGTCATCCGGACCAGAGAGGACAAGGATAACCCAAGTTGTTATCAACGCTCCGTTCAGAAGCTGCATCACTGATGGTATGGGGTTGCATGAGAGCTGGTGGCCTGGGCAGCTTGCATGTCTGGAAAGGCACCATTAATGCAGAGAACTATGTTCAGGTTCTAGAACAACATATGCTCCCATCTAGACGTCATCTCTTTCAGGGAAGACCCTGCATTTTTCAACAAGATAATGCCAGACCACATTCTGCAGCAATCACAACATTGCTGGCTACGTAGGAGAAGGATCCGGGTACTGAAATGTCCAGCCTGCAGTCCAGATCTTTCACCTATAGAGAACATTTGGCGCATCATAAAGAGGAAGGTGCGACAAAGAAGGCCCAAGACGATTGAACAGTTAGAGGCCTGTATTAGACATGAATGGGAGAGCATTCCTATTTCTAAACTTGAGAAACTGGCCTCCTCTGTCCCCAGATGTCTGAGTGTTGTAAGAAGAAGGGGAGATGCCACACAGTGGTAAAAGTGGCCTTGTCCCAACTTTTTTTGGAATTTGTTGACGTCATGAAATTTTGAAACAACATATTTTTCCCTTAAAATGATACATTCTCTCAGTTTAAACTTTTGATCTGTGATTTGTGTTCTATTGTAGATAAAATATTAGATGATGGCACCTCCACATCATTGCATTCAGTTTTTATTCATAATTTGTTTAGTGTCCCAACTTTTTTGGAATCCAGTTTGTATACTGTTACTTTAGATTTAAGTAAAATCTTAAGAGTAATGTAAAACATTGTACTTTAAACTAACTCCTGCGAAACTCCATTCTAAGTATGTTCCCTCACATTAAGGCATGTGATGACATATGGTGGTACATCTCAGCCTCAATGAATTACCCTTTCAAAATACGGTATATCTATGAATCTCTTTTTGAGCATAGCCCTTCAGATGAAGGCTTTGGGCTGAAGCCTAGCTTGAGATAGTTTTAATAATGTTATTTCAGTTTAGATTCAATTTTGACGAGTTTGCGCAATTTGTTTAGTTTGGCATTATTTTGCCTAAAGTGTCTCACTACTGGCTTTCCACGGTTCAGTTTTCAGTGGTACAGCTTTGTATAAATTCGTCACAGCCCCTGTTTACCTATAAAAGCACATAGCCTCCTCCCTCTCCACCTCTATTACCCCACCTGCCTGATGGCGAGTCAGAATTTGAATAAGAATTATTATTAGTTATTGTTTTGAAAAAAAGAAGTCACTAGAGGAAAGATTTACAAAAATAGTGACAAAGTTGGTAAGTTGACAACAGCTTCTTTCGTACTGATCACACTCCCATCCATCTCCATGCTCATCCCCTCACTCGGTCGTGTTTCTCGGCTCCGCCACGTTTGCTGGAATTTTTCAAAATTTGCCATGGGTGCGGTTTAGCTTTCAGAGGTTAGTTACACTTTAAAGAGTTATGGCTTACTTTCAAAAGAATGGCTGTTGATTTTTATCAGTTGAATGCCCCCTCGGGGATGTGGATAAAGTGCAAGTTTTAGCATATGCTTCAGTTCCCCACGTCTTTAATTCATTCTCTCAGGTCAGAGTTTTCATTTTCAGTTTTACACGCTTGGCCAAGTCTGTAATGTCATCCACAGTTGCTCTGACTCTTTGTTCAAGCTAGTTGACGTACTGTCCAAGTATACTAAGTTACTAAGTGTCTCATTTATTTTTTTCAGACTAGCTTCATTTGCTGCATGAAATCCTGGAGGCCAGGTAAGTTTCCAGGATTTACATGGAATAATTCGCACATTACCCATTGTGAGGCCAGCAAACCTTTTCAGTCAGTGTAGAATGAAGAAATTATTGATTTAACACTTCAGGCTGTTTTGTTAGGCTCACCATAAGTATCCCATTTGCATCAGCCATTTTGTGATGATACATGAAGAAGTAAGTAAGTAAATATAGTTAGGAAAATTAATACTTATTTCTCAAAATATATGTTGAACTAAATATTTAAAGTACATATTGAATTATTTGCTTCTAAATATATACTTTGTAAACTAAGAATTTAGTTTGGAACTGTGACATTTGCAAATGTATGAGTAACAGTGAAAATCTGACTTTAAAATCAGCTATGACAGAATTAAACCAGAATACACAAACAAGAACAAACAAACAGCAACAAGCTTAAAGAAGATGGACGGTCACTTACAGCATCCTTGTCCCCTTTGGGACAAATCTCCTGCCAGGTTTTCTTCATGTCCTCGGGAAGTCTTTGGGTCAAAAGATGATGCAAATTTTAGTGACGGTTCATTTTTGTAAAAATGTTATCAGCTACAGCAGATAAAATTATTATACATGTTGTAATCATGTTCCAGCCACTAGATATTAGAATATGAGTCACTCTGAGGAGATTTATGATCTGGTTGGATTTTTACCAAATTCCTAACCTCCCCCTGCATACTTTCATACAAACATCAAACATCTGAAAATTACTATAAGGACTAACAAACTAACAGAGTACATTCAAACTCTTGATATAATGTAATGTTGAATAATCATGTTGAGTTCAGTGTGCAGATAAATTGTTCTTTCTTCTGTCCTAACCTGATCCAAAGTGGTGAGTATAAAATGCAATACTTTCAGTCAGACAGAGGATCTTATAGACTTAGATTGGTTTGTGTCTCCATGGAGATATGAGATGGAGTGTAGAAAATAGCCTAAACTTACCTCTGATTTAATGAAGCTTTAGTGTAAGTTTCACTCTGAGGTTCAGGTACTGGTCCAGGTTGAAGTGTCTGAGCACGTTCAGGTTCATGATGTTTCTGTCGTCTGAACATGACCAGACAACCAAAAAGGAAATGCTTTCAGGTAAGTATTTAGAGTCTCACATTCAGGTTAAATGCCCATTTATTAATTGTCTTATGCTTCTCAGGAAATATTTTGTTAGGGGCAGCAAGTCTAGGAGGGAACCTCAGACTTCACTCTTCCTAACAACATCCTGTGTTTCATTCTGGGAGATCCCAAAGGCCTTTCCAGGCCAGAAAGGATTTATAATACCTCCAGTGAGGTCTGATTTTGCCTGGAATTGCCTCCATCTGGGACTTACATGGAAAACCTCAAAAGCAGGAAGCTCATTTCAGCTCCTTTTATATCCAGGGTATCCTCCATTTGGTCCTAATCCATTTTCCCTGACCATAGGTGAGGGTAGGAATGTAGATAAGTCACTAACAGGTTTGCTTTTTGGCTCAGCTCTTTCTTCACCACATGTTGGACAGCAGTGCTGGTGACACCTACTGGTGGGATCACTCTGCTATTACTTTTCTGTTTTATCCAAAATTAACAATCTGCACTCCACTATGTTAAATAAAGCTAACATAGTAATGCATCCAGATGATTTAAGCATATATACATCAGCATTAACTAATACAAAACTAGACACCATTATGAGCAAGGAATTAAAAACAGTGACAGAATGAGTTAATGCAAATAAGATGGTCCTGAGTTTATCTAAAACTAATTGTATGATTTTGCAGTGAAATTATAATTTAATAGTGGTAATTCAATATTTAATATTAAATTAACAACATCCCTAAATACCAGGCAACTGACAAAAATAACTTATGAAATTAAGGGTTGATGATGAATTATTATGGAAAAAAACATCAAAAACATGATTGTATATAAGGGTAGAGGCTTGTCAATTATAGGAGAACATGCAAGTTTTATTAATTTAAATATCTTGAAAACAGCAGTTAAATGTTTGATGTTATCACATCTTGCCTATTACCCAGAAGGGGGATTATAAAATATACAAAACAGCAGTCACAACATATGAAATATGATTATAGTACTAATAATACCATCATCAATGAACAACATCCTGAACCAGTTATTGGCCAAAGATAGATTAATGCACTCACTGATTATTACACACATATCTGTCTTAAAATCACCTTTTATTACATTTAAAAATCTCACCTTTAATGAAGAGAAACGCAAGTATATAACAAGGCATGAGGTTGTAGGAAACTTTACTACATGTAAAGTATGATCATCAAATGCATTGTTTTTGTGGAGATCTATGTCTGATTTGATTTGAAATTCTCTCTCTCATTCTTTCTCTCTCTCTCAACATACGAATCAAGTGAACTTCAACTACTCCCTGTAACATATCTCTAAGATAGGGTGTCTGGGGACACTAGGGGGAAAACTAATTTCGGCTGCTTGTATCTGTGACCTCGTTCTTTCAGACATGACCTAAGGGTCATGACCATAGATGAGGGCAGGAACTTAGACCAGTAAATCAAGAGCTTCCTTTTTGACTCAGCTCTCTCTTCACCACGACAAACCAGTACATCACCCGCTTCACTGCAGACGCTGCACCAATTCACCTGTCGATCTCCCGTTCCACTTTGGAAAGGACACCCTCCCCGACCTGGAGAAGGCACTCTATTCTTTTTCAGCTCATTTATTTATGCATATATTGATATAGCTATGATTTTTTATTTTATTTATTGAGATAAAAGATGATAACAGAAAGAACCTTGAAAATATTGATCAACAGGTTTTGCATGTCATTCAACACATTCTCCTTTTGGTTTTCTCATCTAAGGTGTCACACACAGAGAGACACACACAAACACACACACACACACACACACACACACACACAAATAATACACATGCACAATAAAGTATAGGCAGCAATGTTATCTAGCTTGGTTAGATAACTGGTGTTAACTAACTTTGAAGAAGGCTAATAGGTTGATTTGTGACAATAACACTGTCACAGTATTGATGATTGACACACACATTTGTGAGGTTAAAACACAGATAATACTTATATGTAAAAGTTCTTGCTTTGTAAAATATTATTATTCAGGGGTGACACTTAGGTCTCAGTGTCTTTGGTTCACAAAAATGTTTTCCTGACAGTCACAGTTGAAAAGATTTATGGGAATCTTAAATGTAAAACTGGTGCTGTTAAACAAACCTCTGATTTAATTAGAACCATCATGTTTGTCATTATGATGGTTCTAAAGGTCTATCATTGTTGCAAAAACTGAGCCAAACAGAACAGTGTGAATGCGAGTCAAAAACAATATTGTAAAATAGCTCACCATAATGAATGAGCACTGATTAAAAAAACAAAATGCTTACTTTAAAGTCAATAAAACAAAACCCAAAACAAATAGTAGAGATCTATTCCTTTATAAATTAAGTTGCTGCCATGATGAAGACTGGTTTCAGAAGAACTTACCGAAAACAACAACACCATGAAGGACATGTTGAGCAGTTCTTAGAGGACTGTTTGCTGGTTTTAGGTCCTGCTGCCTTTTTCTTGCTGGAGCACATAAGAACACATGAAACAGATGATGTAGTTTTTTTCTTGAGACATTGTAAATAAATAAAGTGAGGGTCATCCCACCTTTGAGCTTTGCTCAGACTCTTGTTTTCCGTGTCCATTCTCTGGTCCATGAGGTCAGACCACTTGGCCTCACCTTCTCCTGTAGAAGAAACTTCATAATCATCTCTGTTCTTTTCCAAAGTGTCTTGAATGCATATATAGTCTGCTGTATGTCTGCTCTAGTGAAAGTCCTGGACCTGAAGGTTAGGGCCAAAAGCAGTGTTTCTCACTTCGGGTTCTGAGGAGCCACTTCCCTGCATGTTTTTGGTGTTTCCCTTCTACCACACCTGATTTGAATAAGTGGGTGAATAACAGGGATCTGTGGAACTTGACATGCAGGTCATGTAATTATTTCAATCAAGTATTCTGGAACAGAGAGACATACAAGGCAGTAGTCCCTGAGGACTGGAATGGAGAAACTCTGGGTGACTGTATAGAAATGTCAATCCATTCACAGTTGGAAACATTTTAGCTCCAAGAGGTATTTTATAGATGGGTTTTAATGTGTTAACTTATTTACACAGGTCTAAATAAAAGCAGGGGCAGCGAGGGCTGATTTTTTTTATATTTTCTAGGGGCATATGTGGACCTCTACCGAGGCTGGTTGATAAACCCTCCATTACTCATCAAGGAATATGGACTACTATCAAGGACACCCCCTGAACTCACAGCCTTCGCTGCCGCCCTCACCCTGTTGTCCATATCTTGTTTTGATGTGCAGACGTTTTTTGCAACCCCACAGTGTGTCCCTTATTTCCCTCATGTAACCTACCCTAATGTTATTATTATCTAACAAAAGGCTAGCACGTCCAATGGCTCCAGCCTCAGGCACCTGTCTACCCATGTCCTTGTTTTTCGTTCTTTGGATGGGGCGTACTGAAATGTCAATTTCTCTCCCAGAGATTAAAAATGTATATTCATTCATTCATTGTAGTGTCTCAGTGACCTCCTTTGAAAATGAAATGCAACAATCTCTGGTTTGAAGAATTTTGCTTAATATTTAAACCCAATCAATACACAGTCCACTATGTATTTCAAGAAAATCAATTCTCTCTTCTGTTAAACTGTATTTGTTGCCATTCCACCATGTAAAATGTAATCACTGTAGACCGGTTTTTCCTGATCTCACCATACTTACACACTTTAAGCTCCGCCCCTTCTTACAAGAGAAGTAGTTATAGCAGGTCTGGGTTGGAATTTTAAGACCTCATTGAAACTACAGTGTGGAACAGATCTCTAGCAAACATTTTCATATGTTTATAAAAGCAGTAGAGGGAGGTGTGATCTATTGAAATAATCTAAGTGGCTCTCTGTTGTCATTTCACCATGACCACAATCATTTTACATGGATAAATGTTTGAGACTTGATTAAAATGTAATCAGCTGTCTGCTGTCACCACCTACTGCACAGTTTGAGGTATTGACCATTGAGATATTCACTAACCTGCAATCAGCTTGAAATAGGAATTTTGGTAACACTTTATTTGAAAGGGGGTGAATAAGACTGACATGACACTGTCATAAACACCTGTCATGAACATGAACATGAATATGTATGACTGTTGTCATAAAACATCATTCAGTAAATTATGACACTTTTAATACAAAGTTGACATTATTCAAAATGTCTTTGTTATGACAACTTGACATTAACCAATAAATCATTACTTATATAAATTTGTTATAAAAGTATTATTGATTGCACTTTAAAAATTAGGTAACTTTATATTATTAAAGGTAAAGTTTAAGCAGTAAGTTTAAACTTACTGCAAGTGAAATGTCTTCCCCCAGACTACATTGACGAAGATGGACAGAATGGGAGTTAGAATCCGTAAACCACTGGTTTGACGATGAACTGCAACACCAGATGGTGATGACACATTGGTGTGGGTACATTTAGTTTGTTGTTTGGGTTACAGATGACTGAAATCACATGGTCAAGCTCTCCTCCATAAAGCTGAAGCAGTGCCAGGCTAAATTCTGCCTCTGGTTCTATCCAAGAGTTAAGAGAGAAAAAACCCACTCAGGACTCTGAGAGCAACAGAAGAACAATATGAAGTTAAAACTTACCCTATACCCTGATCCAAATCTTTGATTTTCCTTCTGCTTTGTTTACACACATTGGAGTTTGAACAAACTGCACCTGTTTCTCCTGAACTTATTACAACTGGCCCACCTGAGGCTCCGCCCCTTTCTCTTCAAGAGGTGTGGGCATCCAGGATTTACCCCCAGGAAACTTGCTAAATCCAGATGTAGGAGAGCTAGGATAGAGTAGTTAATCATGTTATTGTAAGACATTATTCTCAATACCTAAATATCATCCATACAGTCTTTAAAAGGTCAGATAAAAATACAGTTAAAATAAATATAAATATTTTGAACTTCAGTTAAATCCTAAATAATTACAGGGTTTCCCACAAAGAACTTGCTAAACCCGGTGGTCAGGGTGCCAAGGTGATCCACCGGCAGTCCACTGTGTTTTTGTATTAAAAGATGTTAAATTGACAGGAAATGTAAAATATTACTGGGTAACTATATGTTGTGGCAGAGGCGATCCTAGAATGTTTGGCATCCGAGCGAACCACCTTTCCAGCGCCCCTCCCCCTTAGTCTCACTTTATCCCTTCAAGACAATACACAGGACAAACCTCACCACCTCTACCTGTCAGACACTGAGAAGGGCAAATTAACCCACGAGAATGCACTACAGAGAGCGGCAGAGTGAAACAGACTCTTTTTAAAGTAAAAAAAACTGTTTATAAATCACATTGTGACTGTTTCTCTCACATCCGCACAAGTTAGCTACATTTTGAGGGAACATTTTGAGTGTTTGGTTGACCACTACCTGACCTGATTCGACAACCAAAGGGGGGCAGCGGACACTCATGCTGCCCCCAGCAAAATCCCACCCTGGGGAGTTGCCCATGTCACCCATATCAGAAACTGCCACTATGGGAAAACATCACCAGTGAAATGCTATTTACATCCATAACTAGTCTTAAAAACAAGAAAAAAATGCAATTAAAATGAGTATCAATTTTTAACAATTCTGCTTAAGGCAAATTAAGTCAGTGGCTCCATCAGGCCCCCCAGAGCTTCAGGGGCCCATAAATGCTGATATTTTAACACAGACCACAGATACATGAATGTAACACTTGTTTATTGAGATGATCAATGCTGCTACATTTGATATAATGGTTTCAGCATACATAAACTAAAATATTTTAAATTGTTTAACATTTAAATTTAAGATTTTAAGGAGCTGGCAAGTTTACTTGGTAAAAGTTCAAAGAACAATATTTATAGTTAGATTGTTTTGTTACCATAGCAACAATCTGATGCTGAGAGTTTATTCCTTGAGTTTGAGCTCCTTTTGTTTACAAATAAATCTCAATAAACTACAATTATCACTGATGGCTTTTTAAATTACTCCCCCTCTCCCAGATTTCGCTAAAATTATGTTGAAATGCTGTTAGAGGTGCTAATGTTCAAGGCAGAGATGTGAAGTGCAGAGATGCACAGCAAACAGGAGATTTAATTCAATGCTGCTAATGTGGCTTTAGTAGCTCTTCCATTTTGTGTCTGTTAAGTTTTAATAAGCGCCACAGAAACTGTTTTGGTTGCCCAAGCTTTATGGGACAAGTTTTTCAGATCTCCGCGCACATCAACTCTAGCTGACTAAGTGGACAAAGTATCTGATATGGTTTGATGAGTGGTGTAACCCGAAAAAAATACTAAAAATAAATAATAATAAGATAAAATAAAACCATTGTAATTTATGAGGACGAGCTCCACAGGCTGAACCACTTAACCACTAACTCACTAGCCAACCAGTACCATGTATTTTTATTTTTATCAGCATACACACAGAGTATGGCCCGACTGTAAACCTACAAGTCTAAGTCATCCAGCTAAACTTCCAGGATGAACAAGGAGATGGCAGCCAAGCGGCCCATGGTGACTCTGGACCAAATGCAGAGATCCAAAGTTCAGGGGGGTAATCTGTTGACAAGGCAACTATTAGTCATCACTGCACAAACAAGGTCTTTATGGAAAAGTGGCAAGAAGAAAGCCATTGTTAAAAGACAAAAATAAGAAGTTGTGTTTTCAGTTTGCCAGAAGTCATGTTGGACACAGCAAACATGTGGAAGAAGGACTTTTGGTCAGACCAGAACAAAAATGAACTTTTAGGCCAAAATACAAAATGTTATGTGTGGAGAAGAAGGGTGGGAATTTATGAGAATTTAGCAATAACAAGTCCATGATGGATCTCACTTATTGATTTCATTCCTTAGTGACACTTTAATATATTTTAACAGAGTTAGGAAATTAACTCTTTCAAATATGTAACATGTTGTATTTGAGGCAAAATAAATAAATAAATAAATAAATAAATAAATAAATAAATAAATAAATAAATAAATAAAGCTGGCTTAAAAAATAAAAATCCCTCTGACATAAAATGCAATTTTTGCACATCAGAAAAAATTTCCATTGTTTTCATTTCAGGAAGGAATGAAAACACCCTAACTTGTTATCCATCCATGCATTTTCTAACACCCTTGTCCCTAGAGGGGTTAGGAGGGTTGCTGGTGCATATCTCCAGCTAACGTTCTGGGCGAGAGGCAGGGTCACCCTGGACAGGTCGCCAGTCTGTCGCAGGCCTAACTTGTTATCTCCTTTGTCATTTTCCGTCTTCCTGCCTCAATGAAATAAATAGCTAAAAGTGTGAGACCTTACCTCTGATCCAGTCTCACTCTGCCAGTCCTCATCACCTACATACCCGTTCCATAAATTTGAGTATTAATGAAACGTTAATGTACTTCAGTGACTCAGCTCACAAGTTAAACAAATTATATAGATTAATTCCACACAGACTGTTTCAAAGCTTTTGTTTCTTTTATTGATGAGGATTTTTGCTTTCTGCTAATGAAGAATGATGTGTAAGATTAGAATATTACCAAAAAATAAAAATAAAAACATTTTTAATGGAGAAATGTGTCAAATGAAAAATATGTTCAGTATCAGCTTAAAGGTTGTTTTCAAAAGATACTTTCAATCTGCTAATGAGCCTCAATGAAATCATATTATAAATTATTGAATATGACTCCCGATATGAGAGAAAGATATGGGGTTAAAATTATGACCAGGTCATTGAAGATTTGAGGATGTTACCTGGGACATTTGAAGATGCTGAGCTCAAACCTCCTGGGAAGCAGCTGAGAACAGTATGTTCTGTCTTTGAGAAATGGAACAATACTTTGGAGCACTTCTGGATATGTTCTAAAACAAAATACAGATTGCGAATGATATGTCTTCAGGCAAGTAAGTCTTAAGTTACGGGAACTGAGAAGCATAATTGTTGGGGAGGAAGATGAACAACTTCCAGGAATTGAACTGCTGAGAACTGGTTCTCTACAAGAACAGGTTCTCAATTACCATCCCTATGCACTAGTCCATCTTACCACCGTAAGCAGCATCCTCATTCCATCATTATATGACTCTCTGAGTTTCTGCATACTTCTTTCTGCCAAGACAAATGGGCAGAAAGCTATAGTGTATTATAGGCTTGGTGGGCGCCAGACTTTACAAAGTGTGGAGTGTGCATCCTTCACACTACTGGCACCTCTGTGAGTTTGCCTCCTGCGCTGTTGCAGCTGCATCTCGGTAGTTTAACTCTGTGTGGTTCATGTCCCACATCTCACTCTAACTCAGTGCTTCTCAATTCCAGTCCTCAGCCCCCTCCCCTGCTCTGCATGTTTTAGATGTGCCTCGATTCAAATGATTGCATGACCATCAAGTACTGCTGAAGCCAGTTAATCGCCAAAATATTCAATCCACGTGTGGCAGAAGGGAAACACCTAAAACATGCAGGGCCTGAGTACCAGAATTGAGAAACACTGTTCTAACTGGATGCTTTGGAAGGTGTTCTCGTTAGGATCATGGGTTGTTTTGATTATTTCATTTCAGTTTGATCATTTTGTATTCCTTAGTTTATTTTTTATTAGATCAGTCTTGTTTCTGTTTTACTTCACTCAGTTGTTCCTTAGTGATTCTAGTTTCTTATGTTTATATATTGTGTCTAGTTCTTTGTTACTCTAGCTTAATTGTTTTCTTAGGTCAAGTCATTCTTCAGTATGTGATTTATTTCCTAGCTCTCTGTGTACTCTCCCTGTGCCACTCTTATTCTGTCTCCTCAGCCTGCCTTCTGCTCTCAGTTAGCTAATCAGTCCAGGTGCTTTGTTTGAGCATTCACCTTCCCAGTACTTAAGTACCTCTTCTCCTTGTACTTATTGCTGGCTCCTCCTGTGAGTTTCT